TGGTCATAGAAACAGTCTAGAATCTCATCATTTTTTTTCGAGGCTAATGCACGGGTTCTCCAATCAAAAGGGTTACTATAAAGGGATTGGTTTGAATGCATTTATCTGCAAATGTTGTAGGATTCTGTTGTTGAGAAGGGGGTTATATTATTATTATTATTATTATTATTATTATTATTGATGATTGTGGCAGATTCGTTTTCTACATGGAAGTCTAATCTCCTCCGAAGACCTTTTCTGGGGATCGTCGATAGATGGTTTTTCAATAGGAATCGTTTCCCTCGGATCCTCAAGAGATAGAGGGGGGTCCTGTCTTGAGACATGGAGCGGTCTCTCCTCCTCCTCCTCCTCGAGAAGTCTTGAGAAAGGGAGAGGATTTTCGGTTCCCTTATTCTTGAGGGGTCTTGACAAATTGAGAGGTCCCTCCTCTTCGAAAGAGAGAGAAGTTTTGGTTCCCTTATCCTCGAGGGGTTTTGACAAATCGAGAGGTCCCTCATTTTCGAGGGGTCTTGATAAATGGAGAGGTTTTTCATCTTCGAGGGGGTTTGATAAAGGAAGAGGTCCCTCCTTCTCGAGGGGTCTTGATAAATGGAGAGGTTTTTCATCTTCGAGGAGGTTTGACAATGGGAGAGATTTCTCCTTCTCGAGGGGTCTCTCTTCCTCAAGGGGTTTTGAGGAAGGGAGAGGTTTTTCATCCTCGACGGGTTTTGACAAACGGAGAGGAATCTGAACAGGCTTCTCCTCATCCCCATCATTATCGAGGAGGATGAGGATAGGCTTTTGGAAAGGTTTTTTCTTTTTCTTCTGAACAGGCTCCTCTTGATGCTCGGGGAGAGGGATGGGGTAGTTGTTCCACCATTCTATTTTTTCTTGCTCGAGGATTTTTTCAAAAGTCGTGGCCTCTCTAATGATGAGACGAAGGAGGAGAGTCCTCGAGAAGAATATAATAGGTATTCTTCCCAGTCTTCTCGATCGAGAGAGGTTCGTGCAAACATTTGTGCAACCATTCACTAAAATGAACGAGAATCCCTTTTGTCTTCTCAAGACGATCCATAATCCTATTCATTTGCGAGACGGTTAGAAAGTGGGACGTGTAAAAATATTTGGCTCGTTTCATTAACAAAATTTGTGCATCCAAAGGTGGAATGTCACGAGCCATCAACACGTTTTCGTCGGACAAAAATTCGTCCCGCATCTTTTGATAACTCCCCACGGTATAATAACCCGCACATTTTGAAAAATCGGAGGCTTTCAGGTAAACGACTCCTTGGATGATATAAAAGGAAAGATCAACATATTTATATTTGAAAGGAATACACGTAGTGAGCTGGGGATGCCTCCTCATGATCCACTTGGACAAAAATACGACTTTGGGGCTCTCCCCTTTTATTTATAGAGAGAAAGAGAGTGTGACCTTCCCTTCCCTCCTCCTCCTCTCTCCCTGCTTCCTCTATCTCTGGACGTCCTTGGATTGGAAAGGGTGACTTTGAAAAAAAAAAGAAGGTCATGGTTGGATAATTTTTTGTTTATTAAATTATTACTTTCACTTCCTCATTCCCACACACATTCATCTTTTTAAGAAAAGAAAAAGAGGTCATGGAGATAAGATTTCTTGGAAAGAAGAGAGAGAGAAACAAAAAAAAAAACAAATAAAACGGACGTCATAGAGCCTCTATGTGTGTCTGTGTGTGTCTATATAGATATATAAAAAGACGAGAGTACTGGGCGAGATCATTTCTTTTCCATTGGGAGCCATGTCGCTATTAGACGTTTTTCCAACTCAACGGATTTCGAACGGGGAGGATTTGAAGACGCTAAAGCAAATCTCCAACTTGAAAATTTTTTTGGCGTGTCATTGTGCGACATTTATTCCGCATTTACCACCTCATCAAGCGATCGTTTCTTTCAACCAAGATGTCGAATCCTCCAACCTGCTCGTTCAGAATATATACAGAAATTTATTCGAATCGCAACAAACGAAAGAGGAATCTCCCTTCTCTTGGAATCGGATGGATCGAGCTTTGAGACGGCCCATTCAAACAGACCGGCGATATACAGATCCGCGCACGAGTTTTCGGTGGAAGAATATTTTTCTCACGAAACGATATTTTACGTTTGGAGTGAGAACGACGGCTGAGGACGAAGTTCATATTGTTCAAACCACAGCCGCTCCTCTCGCCTATTACGAATCATCGTCCCCCAATCTGAAGGAAAGAAGTTTTAAAGTCAGCGACAGGATGAAATATAAGAAATATATTCTAAGACCTTTTCAAAACTATGTCGTTCCCCCGAAAACGCAATATCTCATCGTCACAACCCAGAAGAGTCTCTTTCTCGTCGATCGGTGCTCGTACTCGCTTTGGAAACAATTGAAAGAGGAGATTTCTTTCCAATCGCCGATGATGTTTCAAGAAAAAGAAGAAGAAAACCCTCCGCCACCTTTACCCATCCCTTCCTTAGATGATAAGAGGAGCTGGACCAAACCGTCATTTGGCCCGAAACAAAATCGACCCGGCAACGGAATGAAATTGAAGTCATCACAATTGAAGATGAGGAGGAAGAAAAAAAATTACCTCTTAAAAAACGGTCGACTTACCGGAACCTACCTGGCGTGCAAGATCCGCTTCAGAATCCAGAAGCTTCTTCTTCTTCTTCCCCGACTTGTTCAAACAGGCAACCTCTTTCGGACTCCTCACAGACAGAACCTCTTCCAGTATCCCTCTTCTTCTTCTTCTTCTCCTCCAACCTGTCCCGACATCGTAGAGGTAGAATGTCAGACGGGTCCACAAGCTTCAAAAAGTCCCGACATCGTAGAGGTAGAATGTCAGCCGGGTCCACAAGTTCCAACAGGTCCAGAAATCATGGAGGCAGAATCACAGCCGGGTTCACAAGTTCCAACGGGTCCAGAAATCATGGAGGTAGAATTTCAGCCGGGTAAACAAGTTCCAACGGGTCCAGAAATCATGGAGGTAGAATCGCAGCCGGGTCCAGACATCCTAGATCCCTCCACTCATCCCAAAGAGACTCCAAGTGTTTCAAGACAGCCTTGTGAGGATCCAGCCCTTCCCGTATGGAATGATTATATGGACTTACAAAATTTGGTGCAACAGGAAGGAGAAGAAAATAATCATACGGATGGGTGGGTCAAAGACTGTTTAGATCATTTAACCTCGAATGAAATTGAACTGTTATGGAATTGCATTTCTGAAATCACATCGGAAATGGGATAAAAACCAAAACAAAAAAAACAATTTTTTTAATAACAAATTGGGAGGAGGGTCATGATGTCAATTAAAAAAAAATATTATATAGAGTCCAATCTTGGTGGTTCACTTCAGTTTTCCAGCATGAGGTGATCCACGTTTCCCGAAATATGGATCCCATTCCAAGAGAGATTGTGTAGAGCCTTCACTTCAGTTTTTTTTTTTCTACCAAGAGGAGAGGGTCCCCAAAGGGCTACCCATGTCCAAAGAGAGAAAGTGTAGAGCGTTCATTTCAGTTTTTTTTTCCAAGTTTAGGGGAGGGAGGTCTCAAAATGACACCCCCCCATTTTCAAAGAGAGATGGTGTAGAGCGTTCATTTCTGTTTTTTTCCAAAGTTAGGGAGTTTTCAAATGGCTACCCATTTCAGAGAAAGAGAGAGAGAGAAGGTGTAGAGCGTTCATTTCAGTTTTCCAACATTAGAAGGTCCCAAAATACCTTCTGAATTCAAAGAGAGATCGTGTAGAGCGTTCATTTCCAGTTCTCCAAGATCAGAAGAAGAGGGTCCGCTTTTCCCAAAAGGGCTTTCCGCATTCAGAGACAGCGAAATGCAGACTTCAGTTTTTCTCCCTCCCCAAGAATAGAGGGTCCCAAAATGGCTTCCCATTTCAAAGAGAGAGGGAGAGGCGTTCATTTCCATTCTCCAAGATAGGGTCGTCTGCTTTTTCCCAAAATGGCTTCCCAATTCAAAGAGAGAGAGAGAGAGAGAGAGTAAAAGGGTGTGTAGAGCGGTCATGTTCATTCTCCAAGATAGGGTCGTCAGCTTTTTCTCAAAATGGCATCTCCCCATTCAAAAAGAGATCGTAACCAATTTTTTCCAGTTTTTTCCAAGATGGGGGGGGAGAAGAAAACCTAGGATGGAATAACACGACACACAGAGAGAAAGAGAAAAAAAAACGCCATCTTGTCATTTTCTGATAGGGTACCGGTGTTCGAATACTTTTGTGACCGACTCTAAAAAAAAACCAAAAATCGTAATTCAAATTACTTTCCATTGAGAGACTCAACACCCCTGACAAAACAAAATTATGAGGAACGGCTTTAGAAACTATTATTACATTTAGATTTATCACAGAAACCATACACATAGTCTTTTTCAAAATGTATCCAAAGTGTTGCCAATTACAAGTTACTAAATATTAAATGTTACCATTTACAAATTATTAAATATTACAGCGTCAACCCTGATCAACTTCTTCACTACTGAAGACTTTGCACTTTTATTACAAGTGCACAGGACTTTTCCAGTTTATGGAATTTAACGAACTTTTACAGGTCCTTAGGTGATTGATAACCATGTAGTGGTAAAGGCCCTCGGTCGAACACCACTTAACGATCGATGATCTCCGATCTCCGATGCTCATATACAAATAGTAAAGGCGATGAAGCAAAAGTCGCCAAGCACAAGATTGTGTAAGCCTACGTTTCCTGTTTTAACCAATCGGAGGAAACAGTAGCAGAAACAGTCTGTGTAGGCTCTATGAATATGCTGCTCACCCCGATTATGGAATATTAACTTTAAGGTTTTAAAATTATTAAAAATTTCTTTTATTTTCTTCGCATTAATAAATTTTATTTTTATATATGAAAAGAAGTGAAAAGAGTCATGCAACGTATGACCTTTAATGCCCCCTTGTGGCGAGTCTGTGAAACTGAAATGTATTGGAAATCGTCACTCATCCAAAAAGTCATATGACTAAAATTGTTTAGTGAATCGTTAGCGGTGTTTTGGATTTTAAACATCTTGGGGCGTTTTGCAAATATCTAAAACGTTCCGGTAAATTGTATGTCAGTTATTATACAAAACTTGATGACGTTATAATGATTCTTTTCCTTTTTTTTTGCCTTTTTTTCTGCATTAAACTGAGCTATTTATCTGCGGGTAGGAGTGGTTGCAATTAAGTTTTTAAATCAACTCTTTATCTTGTGCTGAATCTTATTTTAATATATTGTTGCATAATTACTATATAATTTTAGTTTATCGATTTTTATAAGTGATATGTGGCAATAATTTGATATTGATGTAAAGGAATTTACTTGGATTTTTCTAAGTATCTTAAAATACTTATCTGGATTTTAATGTTTAAAGAGCAGTCTATTAAAATTTCATATCATTTATATGCAGTTTCTTTTATTTTAGCTTAATAGTCTACTGGTAATTTTTGAAAAATGACTAAAGGCTTGCCTAAAATTGCTGATGTCGAGAAAGAGTCTGAGTATGGGTTCGTTTTTGCTGTATCAGGACCCGGTAAGAAATAATTTTTTGATTCCGACATTTATCATGAAAGTGTTAATATTTCTGTGTACAATATCGTTTAGATTTCGTCTTATGTGTGATTTTTGTGGAAATGCTATGGAATATTATTTTCGAAAGATAATCAGCAATTTCATTTTAATAAGCAGTAAAAGTATTAATATTGCAGTTGATCTGAGTACATTATTAAACAAAAAATACTTCCAAGATTACGATTTAAGCAGTCATTTGTATTCCTCCCAATTATTAGATCTGTTGAAATGTATGATCATTAATATGTTGTTTAAAGACGTGTCTACGTGTAAATGTTCAAATAATTTAATTATGTTTTGTTTAAATGAACAATCTGTGGAAGCACTTCCACAGAGAACCCGGTAAATGTTAACATCGCCAACTTTGGAGATAGTAGTTCAAACCTGGTAACCCATCGGATTTATCCTATTCGCTTGTTCGAAGTTTGCAACCATTCTTCTTGCGTCCATTTTGTTGAATTGTCATTGTTCGCATTTGCAGATCTATATTATTCTTCTCTTATTTATTATTATTTTTTCTGAATTTTTTAGCAACGAATAGATAGAAATATTTTCGTAGGTAGATGCCGGTTGTCGGTTCGGGATGAAAGGAGGGGTAAATGCTAATTTGTAACACGGCTGTTCACGTTGTGTTCTTAATTATTAACAGCTCTAAGAACCATGAGGTTTCCAACCTCTAAAATAATTTGTTTTCGTAGACCGCAAAAATGTGCATATGCATTTTAAATAATTAAGTAATGCTTTTATTTTTATTATTGGTTATTGTCATCTAAAATTATGAGAATAAATCAATTTTTATGGCGTAATATTTTAACAATATATTGTTAATGCTTTTCAAACAACAATCTTTCAGAGGATCGCAGGTGTGACATAGATGATGAAATTGAAATAAAAAATATTATTGATTATCTAAGATGACAGAATAATTTGAGGCCCAACAGCGGCCGAGCGGTAGCGTCGCTGAAAACTGGTAGTTCGGTCCGAGGTTCGAATCCCACGAACGGGCTGGCTGCATGGGCGTTTTCGTGGTTTTCCCCATGTGTAACGTGCATACGAGCCAGTTTCCCTTAAAAAGTCCTCCACGAAGGCATCCCTCCCTTAAGGCAGATAGCCCTTGAGTGCTTTGCCATAATCTAATAAACCAAACCAAAACCAGAATAGTTTGATGCATCACCATGGTCATCAAATTTAGCAAACCACTGCTGGTGTAAGGAATATATTGTTTTCTGTGTTAACTGGAATTTAAGACAATTTTTTTTCGTATATCACGTTTTTTAACCGGTTAATTTCAGTATATAATACTAATTTATATTTTTAAATGAATTTTTATTTCCGTTAAAATGCTTTATTATATTGTCTTATGCTTAATAATATATTCTTTTCTGTGCTAACTTGAATTTAATACAAATTTATTTCGTATATCACGTTTTAAACCGGTTAGTTTTACATCTACATGCTTATTATCTGTGAATTTTTTACTACCATATGCTTGTATATTGTTTTGTCTGCTAATTTGAATTTACATGCACTAAAAATCACTTACAAAATATCACGTTTACGGCTCGGCTCATTGTAGATGAACCGCGAGCTTGGCGAGTAAAAATGCAACGTCGCCAACGGGTTCTCTGCGGATGAAAACCCCAATCTGTTCCTGATGGATCAAAAATATTTAAATACATTTTCTGGTTCTCTGAAATTGAAGAAATTTTTCTATTGCATGACTAAAAGAATAGCACTCCCAGTTGTTAAGCTAAATAGCCTTTTCCATTTCAGTGTTAAAACTCTGAATTGTAAAAATATATTTCAGGGTACTACTTTGCGAAAAATTGCATTTTTTGGGGGTCCCATTCCTGTTTACATTCAACGCCCTCCCCAGTATAATGCCATCCAAAACATAATTAAAACAAAAAATATATATAATCTCAATAAACTGCATTTTAAATCAATGAAATAACATAAGAATGGAAATGCATATTATCTAATGTATGCAGTACAAAAAGGAAATATCGGCTTACCTTATTTAAAAATTTGTTTCTTCGATATATGCGACACACAGAATTCCTTAACACCATCCAAAGATGGTTAGCCTATATTTTAGGGTGCCCCTTAGAGTATTGCAAAGTTGTACTTTTCTTTATCGCCAAGGTGCTAATAATCAATCGATTATTGAGGAGGTTACAGTTGCATCAATCAGCATATCTCCAGCGTGCGAGATAGTGTTTCGGTGCACTCTGGCCAGAATTTTGATTTATCCCCAAAACTAAGAAGTTTCAGAGCCAGGCTTCGGCACAGTAAAAGAAATTACAGCATTTGGACATACTTACCGCTGTTGGAGATAATAGAATATGTATATTAATTAAAAATGCTATGGAATTAGTTATTTCTATATGTGCTGTTATGGTGTGTTGATGCATATCTAGATGAGAGTATAGAGGTTTTTAAACTTTTTTGCTTTGAAAATCTTAATTATTTTGCTGTGATGCTCAAATTAAAATGTAAAAGATGGATTTGTACTTCTAAGTAGGTAGATTTGGTCAGCTGGATGTTATCCTCCCCATCACCTGTTAGTTGAAGAGTTATAAGAAATTACGAGGTATGTTTTTGTAGAGTAATAGTCAATATATGTGGCAGCTGTTGGAGCACTTGAGTTGAAATTTTTTGTGAAAACTTGGGTTGGTTTCTCAAGATAATTAGTTTATTTCGAAAATCTAAATAACTCTACATCGTGAGAATTCCCTTTTTAAATTTTTGCTGTAGTTTGCTGAAATGAAGACAGTGTAATAGATAACAGATAATCTTAAAGAGATATTCTGCTAAATTTTGTAACCTGCATCTCAGAAAATTGAATATGCATTAGCAAATTTTCTTTTCGTGTGATAATTATACATTAAAGTGCTTGCGATCTTCATGCAAATGTATGCATGCATAACTTGGTTTTTGTCTTTGTATGGTGTGGAGAAGGTGCAGAATCACCCACTGCTTGGTGTGTTTTTCAAAATCGCAAACTTGGCCCCCTTGGATTATCGCTAAGTTGTTGTTTCATTTATGGTAACCTGAGTAGTTGAATGTTATGGAAAGCCGATTATGACGTAATTGGTTGCGTGATTGCGGTAAATTTGACTGATGGGAAAAGGTTTGTAAGGGCTTGTTTTTGTGTTAGATGTTAGTTAGGAAGTACTTAGCTTATTTTGCGATTTACATGGTAAAATGTCTGAATGTGGTAAGATTAATTTGAGAGTTCTGTATGGTTTGGAACGAAAGGGTGGGGAAGAAGCATTAATTGACTGGTGTGTAAATGAAGGTTTACTTAGTGGACATTATAAGTGTCCTGTTTGTACGAAGGAAATGCATATGGTCGAACGTCAGAGGATACTAAAACTATGGAGGATATTTCTGACTCTTTTTGTGAATGTATGTGGCTATGCCAGTATTCAGATTCTTGTTCAGATAATTCTAGGAAGTTTTTGGATGCTGTTAAGGAATTTTGTTTGGGTGAAGCTATGGAAATTTCTAAGTAAGGTAAGTGGATATTTCCTTTGTGTAGTGTTTAGATGGTATAAGGAATTTCCTTTTTTATGTTATTTCATTGTTTGATTTAAAACATAGTTTATTGAAATTATATATTTTTTGGCTGTAGTGTAGAATTACCTGCTCTGTTGATGCTTTAAGTGAAAATAGATCGATGTGTACATGGACAGAGTCAAGGGAGTGTGCAATGCGAAGTTGTGCAATTATCTGATCAGTTTTTCTGCAAATCCACACAAATCCATCAGAAACATAATTTTTCTTCCAAATCTTCATATTAGAGCCGCACTTCTCTCATGTCAAGTTTGCCTTCAAAAATCCTGTATCCCATAAAAACTGCAAAAATATATTTCTGTCAGCATGAAGACAATCTGAACAAATGCTTCGTTAATAACTCCGGCAACATACTTCTCGAGCTTCATCTAGCTTGAATATTCTTTAAAACACGTGGCTGAAATATCTCCACAACTTCCTTCGTGGAACTATATGCCATTATTCAACACTTAATGAAGCAAACCACCACTATGAAATAAAATCACATTCCCCACAAAAGTTTCCACGTAAAAATGGTTGCCATACAAACAAAATCTAAACTAAACCATCCAATATAAAATATTGCCACATTTAGCGTCTGTATGTATCCCAGGCCCTATATGACGTCTTAGCCATAAAATGTTTAATTTAAACATGATCGTCTATTTGAAGTGAGATGCTGCACTACTAATGGCAGTTTCTGTAAGTAAATTTAAGATATAAAGCCATAAAATTCTGAAGCGAAATATTTTTATTATCCTGTTAAAAACTGCAATTATATTAAAAAAATGGGGGCATCCAAAATTATAGAATTTACTACATAAATATATATATGTATTTTAAGGGAAACTAAATTTAAAGAAAGACATTCTAGATCTAAAGAAATTCTATTATTAGCCAAATTGTTGATGCAGAAACTAGCCATCAGATTTTGTATCGTGCTTGCCGGAATTTTATAAAAGCAGCTGGCATTATAAAAGAATTTACCCTTCAGTTCTTGGAAAAACAGAATATAATAAATGGTTTCAAGATGTAAAAGTAGATTAATGTAATTTAATTATGATATTTGTTTATATATACATGTTACTTTCATGTAAGGGGGGCCAACCAGTGGCTGAGCGGTACAGTCGTGGAACACTGGTAGTTCGGTCTGAGGTTCGAATCCCGCGAATGGGCTGGCTGCATGGCCGTTTTCATGGTTTTTCCCATGTGTAACGTGTATATCAGCCAGTTTCCCTTAGAAAGTACTCCACGAAGACATCCCTCCCCTTAGGCAGATAGCCCTGGTGTGCTTTGCCGTAATTAAATAAACCAAACCGAAACAAACCAACCTTTCGTGTAAGGAACTTGATGTTTATGGTTTCTGTAAATCCATTTCATCGCATAATTAAAGTGGACAGTGATTGGTACTAAATTGCCATTCACTGTGAAAGTTCATGCATTGTTCTGATCCTACAAATGGACTGGCTGGTTAATAAATACCCATTTGCAATAAATAGAGCTATCATATTGTTTAAAAATGAAGTTAAATTCATACTTAAAAAAATTCAAAAATATTTTCTGTTTTAAATTTTTGAAAGAAAAAAAATTAATTCTGGAAGTTAACTGTAAGATAGAAAAGAGAGTTTGTGTCACCAAAGAATGGAGTATGTAAATTTGTGAAAGCTTTCTAAATATAGTTTTGGTACTCTTGGATTATCCGCCCAACACCAGTCTTGCGAAGTGTATGATGACTAATTTTTCGCCAACCTCAGATGTGAAAAACAGTAACCGTTTTAAAATGACAGTGCATTAAAAATTACATAAGAGAACAAATTAACAAAAATAAAAATGCAAGAAGCATCCATAATGAAATACTGAAAATTACATAAAGCAGCAACAAAATAACTATTTAAAAATGCAAGAAACATCTATAATAAAAATGCATTTTTTTCACACTTGTTTTAACTTAAAATCGGAGAACTGCAGAAATTTGGAAAAAGTTATCACAGTCACTTAAGACGGTTAATAAAATACTTTCCTTATCTTCTCCTCTGTACACATCAACCTGTTTTAACTTAGGAGAAAATTAAAAATGAGAATATCATAAATTTGAAAAATGTGTTATAGCAATTAGCCTAGGAACAATTGATAAGTAGCAGCCAAATATCATAAATTTGAAAAATGTGTTATAGCAATTAGCCTAAGAACAATTGATAAGTAGCAGCCAAATATCATAAATTTGAAAAATGTGTTATAGCAATTAGCCTAAGAACAATTGATAAGTAGCAGCCACAAAGATGGCCATCAAATTTCAATAGCCGGATTCTGTGCTGCAGTAATATGCTTGCAGACATCCTTGGGTTGCTAGATAAATACATTTTCCTAAAATGCTGAGTGACTTACTTTGCTGATGTAGTGCGTTAGGAGATTCAGTGAATGTCAGTTTTGCTTTTTTATGAATTTAAGGAAAGTTCTTTCTATATTAGTATGATTTCATGAGATTTATTTTGTTTTATTTACAGTGGTTACAGCTGAGAAAATGTCAGGAGCTGCTATGTATGAATTGGTTCGAGTTGGCCACTCGGAACTAGTTGGTGAAATCATTCGATTAGAAGGTGAAATGGCAACTATTCAAGTCTATGAAGAAACATGTATCTTTTAAAATCTGCATTTTTAATATAATTATATAATATGTTAATATAAGTGTCACAGTGTTATATGTTATGTTATAATAAGTGCTATTTTTCATTCTATATACGTATGTGATATTCATATATAGTGCTTTTTTCCTAAGAGGTATTTATGGGTAATGCCAATTCGACTGAAGAAAATACATTTTATTGTTCAAATTGGAACATAAAGAAATATAATCAATAATTAAAATTTTCGGTAGCGTGTATTATCCTATTATACAGTTCACAATAATTATCAGATTGGCATAAGATTGTATTCAATAACATCTTCGTAATAGTTCTGCTTGCATTTGGTATTAATCATCAGATGTTTTTCTTTCAGAAATTAAATAATTTGCCTAATACTTTTGCTTTATTTTTAACATAATACTTTTTTTATGTTTGAAAGTTTTCTTCAGAAAGAAGCATCTAATTTGATACAACCACACCTGTATCATTAATTGGTATTCAAGCCAAGTCTTCAGAAATGTTCATGCTTTGCATTTTAAAATATGTTTCCAGAGTACTAATTTATCTGCTAGCTTTGCAAACAAGTTTCTTGTAATTACTATTTCTAACAAATGCTGTTTATTTTAGAATTAATTTTATTAAAATCCTAACATCCAGGAAAATTATCAGAAAACACGAGCCATGTATCAATACTTCACATTGTCTATAACATTGATTCATGCACTTCATTACTTTTTAATAGAGTCATTATTTACTTTACATTTCTTTGCTGCCTGACCTAACATATACACACTGGATATTCCTGATATAAAAGTTATTAAAATAGAAGTAAGGAAATTGTAAAATAGTAATTTTCCCTCTCGTACTGAAGTACTTTTGCTTGATGATGGGACTAGACAGATTGGTAGGATTGTATATATCACATATAATAAAGTTTGTTTGGAATGGAAGAAGCTTTTGCTCTGCTGAAGGAAATATATTATGAGGGATTTAAAATTATTTTAGCTGTTTGGTACTTTCTGATTATCTGCATCCTTGTGGAAAAATTGCGAAATCGTTGCCCACTTTGGAGAATATTTGGGAACTTGTTAATGACTAATTCTTCACCAAAGGCAAGAGCCATTTTAAAATGGCGGTGTAATAAGAATTCTTTAAAAGAGCAATCAGTAAATAAAATTAAAAAAACAAGAAACAGCAGTAATTAACTCTGTTTTCTGAGAAATCTGTGTAATTTTTTCATGCCACTCTTCTGTCATGTTTACAGTGAATAGTTTTTCCCTAAAAAGTGTCAGAGAATTGTACAAACAACACCCGCCTTGCCCACCCAAAACAGACATGTGCCACTACATGCTTATTTAAGTTGATAGACAGATACCTTTTACTAATATTATTGGTTACATAAGGCTATGCCTCATGAATACGTTTCAATGGGAGTGCAGATAAGCAGAAAGTATTCTTAGGCCATTTCTCTAAATGTTTGTAATTAACTTCAAGTCATATGTACATGCCTCCTGTAATTAGACATTTACACAAAGCTCTTATCTCATTAAAATTGGATATGGTTTGTTGACTTGCATATCTTGAGATGTTTTGTCCTTATATTCTTTTTTTCTTGATGCAACTAAACCTTTTTTTTTCTCTTAATGGCGGGCTCTTGCCTATGCCGGCATTGGCCAATCCTAAGGCCAGATGTGGTGGTCTGTTTATTATAGAGGCACCTAATAGGTGAATCACATTTGCCTACTATGAAGGGACAGACAGTTTTTACATCCATGCCTTCTTCGGGATTCGAATCTGGCCCTTCGGTATCGCAGTCAAGCTCCCCTACCACTATATCGTCTGGGTAGCTGCAACTAAACCTTGTTATATTATTTTAATCTTTACTTTCTTTTATCTCTTTTAGTATCTGTTTCTGAAGCTTTGCAACCAGAATGTCTTGTGATCCAATAGTATAACTTCAAAATTATTTTTTTAATCTACTCTTCCAGTTTTTCCTTACTTCTATTTTAATAACTTTTATATCAGGAAGATCCAGTGTGTATATGTTAGGTCAAGCCGCACAGTGTAAAAGCCTCCCAGTTAGTTACTCCTGCTTTTCTCGCAGAAATTTCCCAATTTTTAAGATTTTAAGATTGGCACTTGTTGCACAGATCTGTTATAGACATTGCCTCCAGTGTTTAGATTTTAAAGGGTTTTTAAGCTTTCAAATTATTGGCCAAAGTCTAGCTTTATGTAAAGTCTCAGCTACTATATTGCCCTAGTAAATCCTGGAGTGAGATGTTATGCATTCTATGGCCATCTGTAGTTGCATTTCAATATTACAGGTGTTCTGACATTGATCTCTTTTGTCCCATATGGCGGTATATTCATCATGCTTTGTAGTAAGTAAATAAATAAGTAATTGAAATATCTGTTTTGTTTTAGTTGAAATATCATGCATTGAATTTAAAGCTAGTTTAAAAATAAATTTAAGTAATTAGTACAAACTAGTTGTGCAATTGGAACTACTCTTATATATGCCCTCGCTTGGTGACAAATTTCTCGCCAAATGTTTTTGGGCAGGAAACTCCACGGTGCCATATTACTACCTAAATTTTTTGTCTACATTTCAAACTTTATGCCTAAAATGTCTCCAAAAACGTGGTTTTTGCACTTGCAAAAACCACGTTTTGAACACACAATTTAAGCTAAAAATCCGAGACAAAAACAAAAATTAAAAAAAACAAAAAAGTAAAGTTTCTAACCAGAAATATTTGACAAGAATCCATGTATACAGCAATGTGTTTTAACTTAAAAAAAGTCACAGAATTGCACAATTTATGCAGCGAAGGAATCTATAAACTAGCTTAAATAAATTTACATAACATCAATAAATTTCAAAGATTACCATGTACACAGAATTCTGTTTAAACTTATAAAAAAAAAATATCTACGAATTGCATAATCTAGGCAGCGAAGGAATCTACGAACTACACACACCTCATTTTAATAAATAAACATAACAACATTAAATTTCAAGAATACCATGTACACAGCATTCTGTTTAAACTTTAAAAAAAACATCTACACATTGCACAATCTAGGCAGCGAAGGAATCTACTAACTACGCACTCCTCGCTTTAATAAATTAACATAACAACACTAAATTTCAAAGAATACCAGGTACACAGCATTCTGTTTAAACTTAAAAAAAAATCTACGAATTGCACAATCTAGGCAGCGTCTATGAACTACACACACCTTGCTTGAATAAATTAACATAACAAAAATAAACTTAAAAAATACCATGTACACAGCGTCTGTTTAAACTTTAAAAAACATCTATGAATTGCACAATCGAGGTATTGTGCACTGATCAACAAAATAAATTAAAATAACTAAAATAAATTTCAAACAATTAAAAAAAACAACAATAATGATAGAAATTCATACTAATAAAAAAAAAATGAACAAAACATTCTACAAAATAAGAACAAGAATGAAATAAAATGCACTTACATTGAATAAATGCCTCTTCGAACAGCAGAAATGCCAATTTCAAACATCACCAAAACAATTTTGCCGCAAATTTGTTAAAAGCATCTTCTCCCGTTTCAGAACAACGATGGAAAAATATATAAACCACCAAATAAAACTCAAAATCGCATTTCCAATTATAAGGAAGCAATGTAGCTTTAACATGCCACTACGTAATCTCTATCATATTTATATGACAGCCAGACACACTATCCACAAAATTGATACTATCTTTCAAAAACAAATGTTCAAAACCTTCTTTTCCTAAATACTTGTAGAATTTCCAGCCACCCAAAAAAATAGTTGTACCAGGCACGCGACTAAAATTTTGCCAACACTTCTTTCATTGCATCATAAATCACTTAAAAACTACACACCACAGGAACCAACTGAAACCACTATAGTAAAATCCAAGTTTCTACGTAAAAAGGGTTGCCATAGAAACCAACATCGTCCCCAAAACCATTGCGCCCAAAACCAGCATACAACACATATCGCCTCATTTGCTGACCTGAGGGCGCATATAAGAGTAGTACCATGCAATTTTTTGGAAAATTTTTTTATTGTATAATCTTTTTTGAAATAAAATATAATAAACAGAAGTAAAATATCCTCACTTGCATCGTATTAATATTAATCTTTGTTGGTTCAAGCATTTGGAGTTTTATTATGAGTAACCAAATTTTATGATAAATGAAGAAAACGAGTTCCTTAACTTGAAATCAGCTGGTGTCACTGTTGGTGATCCAGTACTTCGGACAGGTAAACCTCTGTCTGTTGAATTAGGGCCTGGTATCATGGGCAGTATATTTGATGGTATTCAGCGGCCTTTGAAAGACATTAATGAAATAACTCAAAGCATCTATATACCAAGAGGTGTAAATATTCCTGCCTTAAGCAAAGATGTTTCATGGGAATTCACTCCAGTTGGTTATAAAGTGAGTGTCATCTTAAATCATTTATTTTATACAAATTGTTTAGATGATTTATTAATTGATTCTTTCAATCAGATTTATCAGTGTCATTAGTTTTTTTAATCAACTTTTCTATGTGTAGGGAATTTTGTCTGTGTCATTGAAATTTTTTTAATCTGATTATTTCTAAATTATTGAACAGCAAATAGTATAAAATACATATAATTATAATAAAAAATTTGGAACATGAGTTTTTAGTATTTTAAAAATGATTCTGTGTAAACCGTTTTAAATTCATTTCGCCAATATTCATGGTATTCTTTGTGTTTCTGACTACAGCATGAGCTCTTGATTTGATTTTTTCTTTATGTGCATACTTGAAGTGGAAGTAATCTTGCATATTTCACAAAATTAAAAATCTGTATACTGCTTTTATTCATTTAAACCAAGTAATAAACTTTGGTTATGTAAACTTTTTAATTTTATTCTTTGTATGCAATGTTTTGTTTATTAACTAGATTAGTTATTAACAGCTATATTGAGCTTGTTTATGATGAAATATAGCTTATTAACCCTTTGCGCTCGAGGCACTTTTCTGTCGGGTGAACCAGCAGCTTGAGAGTAGTAATCAGCCACTCCTGCTTATATCATGAGTTCCTTATTGTTAACTTAAAATAATTTTAGACGCAATAAAACACTTTAAACTCGTATATTTTAACATTATACATATTTTTTTAACTTAATGAAACATGTGTATTAAACATTACGTTCTAAAATTTTCCTTCGTATGTTATTTTACAAAACAATCTCCAATATGCATCCTTTGCTTGTCGGGGCATGTGCCACAGTAGTATACAGTTTGTCGCCTTTGGGACGTTCTTTGGGAGCAAACCTTGCAATCTTTTTTTTGCCCCATCAAAATAATATGCAGCTTCCCATTTAGTCGGATCGCTTCAGAAATGCTGTGTGAAGTAGAAGCTGTGCTGGGTTGTTTTTGTCGAAAGTCTCCTCTCAGTTGATCCACTAAAGTTTTCAAATATTGTAGGTGACTAAGCAGCCGTTCGTTTCTCTGCTTCTTTACTGATTTATAAAGAATGTATGAATTGATGGAGCAGATCTCCAAACCTCCCAAAAAATAGTTTTCGCCACCATTTTACGGATTTTCTTAAACAATATGTCGAAGCCAGTTGGTCAACTTGATCAACACCGCTCATAAATTTGATGTAATTTACAATAACATTGGGCCTTTTTTATAACGACTTCAATACCGCCTCGTAGAGTTCTTACAAGAGTTATTCCCTCATTATTCCAAGTAGTCAAAGCCGTCACAATCCTCTTGTCTTTCCACGCAAGAACCAAAATATTACCTTTACGATATGCACATGTGGTTCGATTCTCAAATTTTGGCTTTTGTATTTCACATGGCAGGTGCTTTCTATTTGTCATGATCGTTCCAGTTAAGTGGCACTTTTCTTTGTGTAATTCTTTCGCCAATATGAAACTCGTATAATAACGGTCCGTGAACATGTGGTGTCTCTGAACACCGGGAATTTTATCCTGCATCATTTTGTATAGATGTAGCGGTATTCTGGTTGATACCGGTAGATCGGGTCTTATCAAAGTCTCTGTTATTAGAGATCCATAATACGGCAGAATAGCACAAATGAAGCCGGTATTTAAATCTGCGAACGTATAAACCTGAATACCCCATTTTGTAGGTTTCATTGGATTGTACGTAATGAATGATATGCGACCTTTGAATTTGACAGTTGACTCATCCGCACAAATCTGCTCTCCGGGTACAAAATAATTCAAGAACCTTTTATTTATATACTCGAGGAAACCAGATACTAACTGCAAACGAGTTCTAGGCTTTGTGTTTTCTGAGGGTATTATCTTGAGGTGAAGTCTCCAAAATATTTGACAAAATCGGTCTCTCGTAAATATGTCTGAGTAAAACGGAATATAACTAGTATCATTTTTCGACCAGTATTCTTGTATGTTTACCAGTGGCATTGTCCCCATATTTATGATTGCCCCAGTAAATGCCCAAAATTCGGTAACTGTTACATCGCACCATGATCGCCATATAGAACGGGATGATAAGGTCTTCTTTTCCACCTTCCTTGCAGCATTATTGTTAGTTTCCTGCACTATGTCAGTAACTAATTCCTCGGTGAAAAATAATTTGAAAAAATCAGTTGTTTCTTTTATGTGTGCAAATACGTGCGGTCCTACTTGTCTTTCAACAAACGGTATTCTTCTGTGGATTTCTTCCAGATTCTGTGCACACTGTCCATTCTGAAGGTTCAGTCTCTTCTGTAACAATCACTTTGGCTTCCAGATTCACTATCGATTATTCGGATTTTTCGTCTTCTTGCTCCTCTAACGTCGTCACTATCTTTATCACTTCCGTCTTCTTTCTCATGGGCAAGCTGTCTATGTAGTGATGTAATTTCGTTCGTTATTGCCGAAAAATTAAACTCAATCTTCGCTAGAAGTAACTTCTTCATTGTGTTCCATACTTATCGGGCTCAGTAACTTTGAAAGAAATACTGCGATCGGCAAGAAGGTTGAGTTCGAACTGATATCGTAGACAGAGTCCTACCCGCAGTCACAAGTATTTCTGAGATAAGATATTTAATCGCATAAGCATTGTAAAGACAACCTTTATTTGAGATAAGACATCCTTATAGCTATTCAGACACCTCGTGATATGATCTACAAAAAGCCAAGTAGATCTCTCAAGCGATATTCCTTAGGTCAAACAAAAATAAACACATTGATTCGAATGGTGCCTTTCAGGCACCGCTCGAGTTATCGCATCACAAATGAAGTTATCGCATCACATGCAGTGGTGCCTGAGAAGCACCGCTCGAATGCAAAGGGTTAACATTTTTTTTGCTCGAATGCAAAGGGTTAACATTTTTTTTAAATTCATATTTATGATTAAATTTTAATAATTTATAATAGCCAATATTATAATGCTTTGTAAAGTGGATGATTTATATATCATGTATATTGAAAAGCAATTCTAATTATCAAAATTTCAAGATAACTCCAAAAGTATTTACTGAAAATGCATTACTGTTGATGTATTTAAAGTTTATGTATGTATTTACAAAATATATATTAACAAGATTGGTATTATTTTTATGCATATGTAGGTTGGCAGCCATATCACTGGTGGAGATATTTATGGAATAGTTCGTGAAAATACTCTAATAAAGCACAAAATTATGTTGCCACCCAAAGCTTTAGGTCGTGTTGTATACATTGCAGAACCAGGAAATTATACCGTTGATGTAAGTTAGAGTTTTTTTATTTTCATTCAATGCTCCAAAAGTATTTTATGATAAATAAAGAAATTACATAGAAGTTCCGTAACTGGGGTCATTATTGGTGATCCAGTATTACGGACAAGTAAACTTGTATGTTGAATTAAGATCTGGTATTATGGGCAGTATATTTGATGGTATTCAGCAGCCGTCATCATTTTAGCAGCAGTCATCATCAGCAGCCGTAAATGCTGAATAGATTGATACGAACTATATGCTTATATAAAACAATATTTTATTTTGCATGAAGTAATTTATATTAATAGCCTAATGATCAGATTATTTTTACTTTTCCTTAAAATTGCATTTTTCACTTGTTTTTTGAAGCATTGGTTTCGGGTGAAGTGCAGAATTGCCCACTTATTTGGCACTTCTTAAAAGAGTAAGAGGAATTGGATTTTTGTCAATTTCCTTTGACTCTTTAAGTGAAAATACATCGATGTGTATATGGACAAAGTCAAAGGAGTGTACATCGATGTGTACTTGGACAAAGTCAATGCCGAATTTGTGCATACTGTTTTTTAAGTGAAAATAGGTCGATGTGTACATGGATAATGAGTTTGTGCAGTTCTTAAAAACGCGCCAAGCAATGGGTGATTCTGCACTTTCCCCTCAGTTTCTTCACAGATTGTTTGAAATACCTATATCCCCAGTTTCAATGTTTGATAGAATTGCCATGTTTTAAGCACTTATTCGAATATGCATTTAACAATAGCCAACTCATGCTTGCACGTATCATATCAATGTTTAAATACATATGAATTTACATGCTTAATATTTAGTCATTCTTTCACTAAACATTATCCACTGGCTGTATAAATGTAAATATCAGCCATATAGATTTTTGTTCTGATAAAATTTCTTATTTGTTATGAGGTACTTGTTTCCATTATAATTTATGAACAGAGCGGTACCTTTGAAGCAAATAAACATTTCTTGCCAATTCATAAAATCGTCAGTTCTTATTGCTGACATTTTGTGAGGATGCAGGTAACCTCTTGACTTCAACGTCTTGACCCCGATACAACAAGGTTTCTTCAGACCACTTTAGTCAAATGAACTGTGCGCATGTCTTGTTTTCCCTGCCACGACGGGACTTGACGTTAGCTGAAAAAATTGGTTTCCTGGATAAGATCAAGCAACAAAACTGCGAAACACTAGTCAGTGTCGGTTGGCAAAGACTACAATTTCATGCTTGATAAAACGAGAATAAGCTGCAAGAAGAATGGGCACAATGTGAAGGACGAGTAGGAACTTAAAAAAAATGGAGGCGTGAAGGCAAGGATCCAGACGTCGATGAGGCGCTTAATGAATGGTTTGCCATTATTACTGGATGAGCTGTGCGAATAAGTGACCCAATGTTAAAATTCAAAGCAGAAGAAATCCTTAAAAAGCCGGGACACGGTGACTTTAGAGCTATGGACGATTGGTTGTCTCAACTGAAATCTAGACACGACATAAAATTCAAGAAAGTACATGGCAAGAAAGTGCTGTTACTGCAGATGCTGAAGAATGAAAATCAACAAAACTGCCCGAGCTTCTTGAAAATTGTTCAGTGCTTCTTGAAAATCTACAATGCTGATGAAAATGTGCTGTATTATCGTTCTACACCAGATGGCTCATTAAGTTACAAACATGTTGCACTCTCTAACTCCAAAAAAGCGACAGATCGTGTAATTGTCTTGTGCTGCTCAAACATGTTAGGAACGAACAAGAGGAAGCTGTTGGTTATAGGGAAAATTGCAAGGCCTTGCTACTTTAAAGAACTTAGAATGGACAGTTTTCCAGTTATGTATCATGCGAACAGAAATGCGTGCATGACCTCTGAACATTTTAAAAAATGACTGAAAAATTGGAACGGAGAACTACAACAATAGTCGAAAAAAGTGCGTCTTCTTGACAATTGTGCAGCACATCCTCATTTAGATTGCTTAAAGAATATTCAACTGGAAATTCTACCTCCCAGGACTACAGCTTTGGGCCAGCCAATGGACATGGGCATCATCAAAAATTTGAAAACCCTTTATCGTGCAAGGTTGGTTAATTACATCCTTGAAGCAATTGAAAAAAGTTTGTTGACCTCATTTATAAGGTATTTCTCCCACCTTCTTGGTGTGGTGGTCTGCACACCGTGTGTGGTGGTCACCGGTATTACAGAGGTCATGGTTCAATTGCCAAAGAAGGCATTGTTAATTTTTCATCTTGCCTGCTTTAAAAAAATATCTAATGTCTCTACAGTGGTGCCCGAAAAGGGTGTTGGATGATGATTCTCCTCACCCATCATTTGGCAATTGGGTCCCCTATAAATCCCAGTCACCCTTTAAAAGGGGGGGTAGATGAGGTATTTCTCCCACCTTCTTGTCGTACGTTCGTAGTGTGGTTGTCTGTACACTGGGCCGGTATTCCAGAGGTCCGCAGTTCGATTCTCGGCGAAGGCGTTGTTAATTTTTCACCTTTTCTTCCAAAAAATACCTAATGTCTCTACACAATGTCAAAAGCCAGTGAAGTCAGTGCAAAGGTCAACATCTTACACGCAGTTACATTTGTGGCTGACAGCTGGTGAAAAGTGAGCAGTGAGAAATTCAGAACTGCTTTCCTCACTGTGCTTGAAACACCTGGTTTTGGAGATGGATGCGGACATGCTTATTGAAAGTGAAAATGATGACGGACATGTGAAACTTCAACAGGTACAAAATTGCAAAGAATTTTTATCCATCGACAGCGAGCTCCAATGCTAGGATGAAAATGAAGATTATGACGCTGCAATCCTTGCTCGAGTTGCAGCAAAACACACAACAGCATCGGAAGACCAAGAAAATGATGATGATGATGCTAATAAGTTGGTGCAAGTGACAACACAGGATGCGAAGAAATGCATTGAAACATTTCATGCAGGAGGGAAATGAAGGCAATCCCATTGCTGCGTTAGATGTTTGTGGCGTTTTCATTCACGTGAAATTCGTCAAGAGAACGCGTCAGATCACATGGGATAAGCTCTTGAAATGTTGACTGTAACTTGGTAAGCACGTGCTTTTATTGTGCTTTTCATGCTGAATATCGTGGAGATCATTTCTTAGAATTTGTTTCTAAATTATTTTCTCAATGAAAAAATTTTGACTGTAGTTCTTGTTTGTACATGTATGTTTGCCATACATGTTTACCCCACAATAAAGGCCTTAATTACATTTTAGTACATAATTTACGTGTACAATTACTGTTTGCTACATATAGCATGTCCCATCTTGCAATATAGGACATGTTCGCGTAATTGGGCCAGCCGGTTATTAGGACCAAAACGATCGCTTCCCAATGTGGTCCGATTAACTGGAATCGACTGTATATGCACATGCATTTGCATACATATATACGTTCCTGAATCCAGTACCAGGAACAGAGGAGTACATATTTGTGTATGTATGTACATGTTTCATGTATAATATACACTGCACAAAAAAACCTAGGGGGGACAGTTCTATATCTCCCGTTCTAATGGGCATATATCGAAGGTGCGACTTAAGATATGTATTTAATTTATATGCAACATTGTTCTAATATAAGTATTTTGACACAAAATTGGACTTTTTCTGAAATGAGATGCCGATTTCTTTTTTCATATTTCGATTTTATGACCCAAATTATGCCAAACTGCCAAATTTTGTAAAAATTGCACGAGTAGTTTTTAAAAAATTAGCTCTCAAAATTTTAGCTTCTCAATGTTAATTGAATTTAGTATGTATTTATTAATCTCCTTTTTATTAAACTTATTTAATTCTTCCTTTCACATTTTGAAATTTAGGTTCATTCCAAATAAAATTCACCCATTTTTTTATGATTTATTCTTAAAATTTGTATTTTTACACAATTTTTATAAATTTTTACAAAAACATTTTGAATTATAACCTAAACAGTTTTTAGTGTCATCTTAAAGTAGATATATTTTTAAGCATACCTGCAAAAAATGAGTTATTTTATTCAAAATTTCTGAAGATATATGTGAATTTATATAGTGGTGCATTTTAAAATTTGGCATATTTGTTGAAAGCAATAAAACATGAAATGTGTTTTAGGCACTTTGTTAAAATTATTTGAAAGTAGGAAAAATATAAATTTTCTGTCGTGCACAATGTAAAAAGGGAAAAGAAAATACGTTACCATATATTAAGAAGTTCACCAAGTGAATTTACCAAGTTATTCTTGGTGCAAACTGGAAAGAAATATGCAAGATAAATTTTTGAATTCCTCTGTAAATTTCACACCAAATTTTACAAAATCTAATGTTTAGACATAATTTGAGTCATAGAACCGAAGTATGGAAACAAATTGGCATATCATTTCAGAAAAAGTCTGATTTTATGTTAGAATACCTATATTAGCACAATGATATATATAAATCTAATATATATCATAAGTCACACAAGTTAATCTCAAACATATTATTGCTTAGATTTTCATTTAAAATTTTAACTAATCATGTAAAATTATATTCCAGGATATTATATTAGAAACAGAGTTTGATGGTGAAAAGTCACAATTTTCCATGCTCCAAGTATGGCCTGTCAGGCAGCTTCGTCCTGTTACAGAAAAGCTTGCTGCTAACCATCCACTACTGACTGGTCAACGTGTTCTTGATGCACTGTTTCCGTAAGTTTATGATGTGTACTTTTAGTAGTTATAAGTATGTTTTTATGGTCAGTCTCTATTCCTTAATTTATATGTTGCAAATGGCAATTTTTTTTGGCTCAGTTTTAAAATTTAAACCTGTAGATATTTAAAAATATACATATATTGTGCATTAAGACACATATAGGACAAAACAATGCAAACACTTGTGAAAAAGTATGACGTATTTCAAACTTGCAGTATAGCCACGTCACCTGCAACAGAAGTCTGCCACCTAGTGAGCGGGAAGTGGAAGGTATCAGTCTCCTAACAACAGTCATCTCCGTTGCACTCTTCGATTGAACTGTCTGTGAGTTGAAATGTCAGACCTTCCAAAGAGGAATGATAATTTGGAGCATGTTTATGTGAAGCATCAGTTATGGAAACAACAAACCTTGTGGGGTGCGCAAGGAGTACGGTATCAGCCGTTATGACAGCGTACATGAAAGAAGGTACGGCAACGTCTTCAAAGCACAACAGTGGTTAAAAGTCAAAGCTGGCTGATAGGAATAGACGGGTCTTGAAGCACATAGTAGCCTGAAAGCACAAGCAATCATTATCCGAGATAACATCCAAAATGAACAATCAAATCCAGGACCCCGTTTAAAAAAAAAAAAAAAAACTGGCAAAAGGGAACTTCATGCTGCGAACATTTATGGCAGAGTGGCAATGCATAAACCCTTGGTGACAGCGATGCCAATGGTGCAGAGATCACAAAAGCTGGTCCCCATAGCACTGGCAACAGGTAATATGGTCGGAGGAGTCGTCATTCACCTTATTTGAGACGATCGGACACATTAATGTCTGGAGAATGCCCAAAGAAACATTTCATTCCGACTGCCTGTTGCCAACTGTGAAGTATGGAAGTGGCGCCATTCTGGTATGGGGTGCGATATCTTGACGCAGTCTTGGGCCACTTGTTATTCTGCATAGAGGATCACATCCAATCACTATCTAAGCATCCTAGGGATCATATCCATCCTTTTGTCCAGACTGTATTCCCTTGGGAGCGACCACTTTTTCAAGATGACAACGCCCCTATCCACACTGCTAGGTGTATTCAAGAATGGTTCGAAGAGTATGACGATGGAAATGAACATCTCGCTTTTCCCTCTCGGTCTTGGAATATTATTGAACATTTATGGTCATATTTGGAGTCCAAACTTCGTTCACGATTTCCACCTCCATCTGGACTTTTGGAATTAGAGACTGCTGTGTAGGAGGAATGGTTTAATATTCCTTTAAATATTGTCCATGACCTTTACGCTTCTATCCCACAATCTGTACTTCAGTCAAAGGGTGGTCCAACCCATGACTTTTCATTATTTCGCAGTGTTCGTATTATTTTGTCTTCCATCTGTATATGCCTGCATATATTTAAATTTTTATTGTACGTATAACTTTCCTTTATGTAAAAAGTACACTGTATTTTGAAAGCTGTTACTTAAAATTAGGCTAAATTCAATTTTTGATTTATCTGTAAATTCTACAACCATATAATGTTGAATTTTGCTTAATTTAAAACTTTAGGTTTACACGTTTCCATTTCATAGATGTACTTAGTATTGTTTTGAACTTTTGCAAGAGCATTTTAATATAATGTTGTTCAGAATGCAGACATAAAGAATTAAAATATTATGTTTGTAGTTCATAAAATGATCCTTAGCTGAAATATTTTTTCTGTGAATGAGTTGGGTCCAGCAGTGGCAAAGAGGCTACAGCCTTAGAACATTGAAAGTTTGCCTCAATCAATTCTCATTAATGGTTATGCTCTTTGTGCCATGGGCTTTTCTTGGTCATCCTCATGTGCAGTGTAAATTTCATCTTTCAGTTTTCAGAAAGTCTTTTGACAAATGCATTCCTTATTTTAAGCAAATGGCCCTTGGATTCTTTATTATTATTATTAGCAGTAATAAATGTAAATCCCGTGATTGAGGTCTTGTGAAACTGTATTATAAATATAAATAAAAATGTTGCCCTTAAATTTAGATTATCGAAAATCTTCTAAAATGTTTTAATGGGATTAATAAATATGTATGTTTTAGCTCAAGTATTACATCATTGTTTTAATTTTCTTTTGCAAAGAATTCACACACACACACACACATATATGTATATATTATATGATTTAATTTTAATACTTTATAGTTTCCCCCCTTTCCAAATATAACAAAGACTCATGAAAAACAGTTGCTGTAAATAATTTTATAAATGTTAAAAAAACGTTAAATGGAAAAAATGTAATGTATAAGCTGAAACCAACAAAGCTATTAAACTAAAAATATTGGAACAATCTAAATTTAATTAATTTTGCTCTCTTTCAAGGGGATGAACAAAATCAGTTGATAACATCTTTTCTAAAATCATAGAAAATCAAAACAATATTTCTGAAAGCAGCACAATGTCCAAATATAAACTGAAAAAAAAATCTTTATTTAAAAATTAAGATAATATATGCATTATAATGTTTCCACCTCGTATGTTTCCTTGGTCCCAGAAATAAATGTAGCAATTAATTTTCAAAGGGGAAAAAATAATAAATAAAAAAAATGGAAAAATGTTTTTGGAAAAATTTTTAAAATGAGGAAGGAGCTCTATACTTAAAATCGGCAGAAATGAGAATACCAAACTAAATAGCTCTTTTTTTTTTTTCACCCAGTGGTGGGCACTTGCCTATGCTGGCATCGGCCACTCCATAAGCCCAGATCTGGTGGTCTTTTTATTGTGGAGGCACCTAATAGGTGGACCACCTTTGTCTCTTATGAAGGGACATACAAATTCCATCCATGCCTTCTCCGGGATTCGAACCCGGACCTTTCAGAATTGCAGCGAGGCTGTCCTAACCACTATACCATCTGGGCAGCGTGAACTGCACTAAATATCGGGTTGGAGGGAAAGTTCTGTCCTATTTTAAATAGGCAGGTGATTTTTCTTGTAAATAAAAAAAACGTCAGGCTAGTGAGTCAATCGGATTTTTTTTTGTTTTTTTACCTGCTGTATAATATAAAAGGTGCCCTTTTTTACCATTCATCATTTACTTGTAATATTTAAAGGGAAAAACATGTCGGTAGATAAAGTGCATTTACGACACTGCATTTTATATGAATTCCAAAAAGGAAGCAACGCATCTGTTGCATGTAAAAATTTATGTGTGGTATTTGGAAAAGATATTGTAAATGCTCGTACTTGTCAAAGATGGTTTAGCAAATTTCGTTTCCGGGGACCTGAGCCTCAAAGAAACGTGTTCGATCTGGACGACCATCCAAGATCGATAATGATGTTTTGCGATCCATGTTGGAAAATATCCACATTTAACAAGTCGAGAAATTGCAGAAGAGTTTGGCATTCATCATAAAACTGTTGGAGATCACATTAAATCTCTTGGGTTTGTGTTAAAGCAAAGTGTTTGGGTTCCACATGAATTAACGGAAAAGAATTTGTCTGATCATGTAAGAATATGTTCATCCCATCTGATTAGACACAATGTGGAGCCGTTTTGGGACAGGCTGGTTACTGGAGATGAAAAGTGGATTCTTTACGAGAATATTAAAAGAAAAAAATCTTACTGCAAACCGGGACATCATCAGCAACAGTTCCAAAACCAAGTATCCTTCAACGAAAAATACTGCTTTGTTTGTGGTGGGACAGGAAAGGTCCAGTGTATTACGAGTTGCTGAAACAGGGAAAAAACATTCAACGCAGATCTGTACTGCAATCAGCTGGATTGAATGCAGCTATCAAAGAAAAAAGGCCAGCATTAGCGTCCAGAAAAGGAATAGTGTTCCATCACGATAATGCTCGCCCGCATACTGCAGTGGTGACACTACAAAAACTGAATGCGTTAGGATGGGAAATCCTTAGTCACCCACCATATTCACCTGACATTGTGCACCAGCTGATTATTACCTGTTCAGATGTCTGCAAAATTATCTAACAGGGAAAAAACTTCAAGTCTTTTGAAAGTTGTTTCTAAGGTAGTTGCTGACTATTTTAACTCCAAGGATGACAACTTCTACTAAACAGGAATTTACATGTTACCTGAAAGATGGCAACAGGTTGTAACAAATAATGGAGCATATATAATTGATTAATATTAAACACATATTTTTATAAATGAATTCAAATATTTTCTTTAAAATACGACAGAACTTTCCCTCCAACCCAATAGTAAGCAATCCAAAAGTAATGTATATAACAAAGAAAAGCTAAATAGAAACAACTTACTACATGACCTTGTAGAAACCTGTAGAAATTTGAAAATGTGCATATATTGTACATTAATACATTTAATGTGCATTTTTTAATGTATATAGTTTCCTTTTATGTGAAAAATACACTGAATTTTGAAAGCTGTTACATATACCAGTTTAAATAATTTGTAACTGTAAAAATACATTACTGCCTAAAACCCTCTTCGAATGTAAAAGGAAATATGCTTTTCTTTCCCTTGGAGTTTGTTTTGTTCTATTTTAGCAAAATATTGTTAATTGCGAATGGTTTCATAATGGATTAAATGTGCACACAACTGATGAAAGCTTAATGAAATTTGTTTTTCCAAAAGCACTTCACAGTTCTGTAACATTTCGTATAAAATTACTCGTACGGCTAGCTTTTCTCTGTATGACAAAGCACAATCAATAGTTACCACTTCATACTGCTATGAAGTTTGAACGCAAGGTAATGCAAAGAGTCCTGGATGTGTAAACTGTCATGGTAATCTCTCAATACTCGGAGCTCTTAGTACTCTCAGCTCAACTGAAACCTGATGATCTCACCGGTATATATAGTTCTGTCCACCGAGAAATTTCCAGTACCTTCAATTTCTCGAAATTATTGGAAAGCATACTTAATTACAGTTACATAGGGCTAGTTATGCAGGGGTTGGACTGGTTACAACTACACAGGGGTAGGACCAAACAGTCATCAAGCTTGGAATTTATTTGCGAAATTTGAAGGCAAAAATTAGTCGCTAAAACATACCAGCTGAGGTAAATGGACTTGCTCTGTAACACTATTTTTCCAGCCAGACTTCGCATTCCAAGGCCTTTCATGTTACGTTATACAAGAGATATTACAATTTACGTATAATTTCACTTAAATTATTTACATGTATACAAAATTTGTAAAAATATTTGCAAAATTCGTACCAATGTATATAAATTTTGATTGATGAACTTATGTAATTAAGCACTGTGATGATTCTGTTGATAAGCATGGAATAATTCAAAACACATGTTCTTACAGCTGTGTTCAGGGTGGAACCACAGCAATTCCAGGTGCTTTTGGTTGTGGTAAAACTGTTATTTCACAGTCCTTATCTAAATTTTCAAATAGTGATGTCATTATATATGTTGGTTGTGGAGAGAGAGGAAATGAAATGTCTGAAGTACTTCGAGACTTTCCGGAGGTAATTTTTTTTTTAAACTTGCTCAGTATACTTTTCTTTCTTAATTTACCAGTATTCATGTAACTTCCTGTAGTTAGTAAAAAGAAAAATAGTGAATGTCTTTTTTTAAACCCTTTTAATTTCAAATTCTATATTTTTGTGCATATTTGAGCAAAATCTTTTTCTTGTAAAATTAGCACGATAAAAACAGCTCAGCAGCATAGTGAATTTATTAAATTAATGTACAAAAAAATTATTTTTGGACCAAAATTTTAAAAATGAGTTTAATTTTCATTAAATTTTGAATAGGGCATCAAGATGATTGCAGTTGCAGATTTAATTTTAAGACATTATGTAATAGTAATACTTTGGAAATACCTATTTAATGTTTTCTCATTTCCTAACAGCTTGATTGAACTCTTCTAATATGCAAAATACAGTAAATAGTCCAAAATCCAGGCATTTAATATCTGGAATGATCTAATATCTGTTATTTTTTAATAATATTTTTTCTTTACATAGTCTAAGAATAGAAAATATAGCAATACTTAATAAAAGCAGGTGTGGTATAAAAGTACTTTTTCGTCTGAGATTTCTGTATGTCACTTTTAAACACTTGCTGGCTAGGCAATCGATCACACCATGGCCAATGACAATGCTTAGATTTATGTATTAATAATTACATTTTCAGTTTTTGAGGTGATTATTGGTGGGTGAGCACTTTTCTGTCTCACCTAAAGAACAACTGGTGCATCAGGACATATTTATTTGGAGTGGGATGTCCCATTCTTGTTTTTACTTTTGTTGGCACACCAGCAGGAAAGGGAGAAAGAATTGAATTTTGGAAAACTTCAGTGCAGCTGACATAGCAAATTATGCTGTTCCTTAATTTTCTGATTGGATACAGCTTGTTATTTTGTCTGTGGGCTATCAGTAATGTTTTCAAAATTATAATTTTAGTAAATGATAACATGTTTGTGTTTACTCTTTTCTCCAAACCATCCATCTTTTAATCAACTAGTGATTATCAGAAGTTTTCGTGCACTGAAATGCAGGTATAAAGTATCGCATCAGTAATGACCACTGATTTTTTACAAAGATTATCCAAGAATTCTGCAAATATTTTAATATGTAATCTGATGTATAGTTATTGTAGGATCATATCAGGACATCTTTGCTAGATATTTTTTTAAATGCTTGGTATAATTTATAGCCAGCTACCAGATTTCATGATGAGAGTCATGATTCCTGTGTGTTTTTGGATATCACAAGCAAAATTTTCCAACTAACGGAATGTGAGAAGCAATGCTAATGAAAATGATAGAATTTAAGTCGTACTATGATAATGCCTCAAACATAGTAAATGGAATGACGACAATATGTAGCATAGTTTTCACTATTTTGGCTTCGAGTCGCATTGTAATTGCATCAGAATTAAATTGTGACTTCAACGACTTCGAAAAATCCTTCTTTATGCAAAATACATCTTTCCTAAAGAAATATTAAAAGAATATTTAAATCTGTAACTATGAGGGTTGCTATCTATTTCTGCCCTAATAATGAAAAAACAAATATTTATGATCGAAATTGGTTTTATTGTTTTTTAAAATATTCACCATGAAGATCAATATATTTTTGCATGTATTTGAACCAATTTTCTAAGCACTTTTACCACTCCGATTCATGCAACTCCAAAACATGCATTTTAAATGCATCAACTGCTTCTTCGGGTATATCACAAAGCACTGACCACATAATTTATTTTTGATTCGCAAGAATGAAAAAAAGTCATTGGGTACCAAATCAGGGCTGTATGGCGGATGACCCATCAATGTGATGTTTTAGCCTGTCAAAAATTTCTCAGTTTGAGCCAATGTGCGAGAGCTCATATTGCGATGATGAAGAATGATATGCCTCTTCTGATTTTTCTAATTTCTCTGATGACTTCTGGCAAACAAATGATCATGTACCATTTAGAATTGACAATCCTGCATTGCTGTAATGCCACTGTCGCCATATGACCGGTAACGCCGAAGAAAACAGGCAACCATTTACTTCGGTGTACTTCTTCTGCAAACAACTTTTGCTGGATTTGGCTAGTCTTGGAAGACCCATGCAGTTGATTGCTGTTTTGTTTCAGACTCATATGCATAGATCCATGTTTTTTTACCTGTGTAGATAGATAAGATTCTTTTCCTTATACACCTTCTTTGATGAACCTTGAACATGTTTTTCTAACATTTCCTTACACCAATCAATTGACACAAGCCTTCTTTTGAGCATTTGTCAGATTATGCGGGATATTGCCATTCATCATACTAATGTTTAAAGATGCCTCACTCTCATGGTATATCACATGCCAATCTTACTTTTATCAGTTTATGCACAGCATCTATATTTTCCAGCACAACAACCGATTTTGGATTACCTTCATGGAATTTGTTTTGGAACAATTGTTTTACCATGACTGAAGTTATACCAGTTTTATACAGTGCTGTAGAATGGTGCTTTATCACTGTATAAAGAATTAAGTTCATCGAAGCACTCTTGTCATGATAATCCATATCGAAAGTTATGAAAAGTAATAGCACGGAAATGCTCGCGAGTCAGTTTCATTTTTTGCCCAAGATTAATTTTTCAGTTTACTGTAAAGAACACAAATTACACTAAAATAGCAAGACATTCTGAAGAAGTTATGGTTCAAAATATAAAACTTTCAATTGGAATTGTCTGTGATCACCTAGCAGCACTTACTGTTGTCAAGGCCAGAAATATAAATAGCGACCTTTGTATTAAAGTTTTGATGATTTTTGGATCTTGGACTTTGTACTGTATAGTATATATCATGTGAACACATTTAGTTTTAAAATATAAGTTTTTTTTTTCCTTTGTATTTAACAACTGCTTATATGCTCATTTCCCCTCCCTTTTTTGTGTATGTGTATTTAGTTGACAGTAGAAATTGAAGGAAATGTTGAATCTATAATGAAACGTACTGCACTTGTTGCCAATACCTCAAACATGCCTGTGGCTGCAAGAGAAGCATCTATTTATACAGGTACACACTGTTATTATAAATCATTATGTGAAATTTTGCAACCCTTGTTTCAATTAATGTTTGTGAATAAATGTTGCAAATTCATATTTAAAATACCATCCTGTGCATATAAGTAAATTTGTGTATAGTTTGTTATATCTTTCATGATCAGTTCTTTATTAATGAATTTAAATCAAATAAATCTTAAATATTCTCTGAAGGTATTTAAATTAGGCACAGGACTTTGTAATCTTATCTATGATTAATTTTTATCGATGCAGAGGTTCCAAAAGTTATTCGGAATTCTAGAAATCACTAATAAAGGAGTTTGAATGTGCTCTCAAAGAGGCAATATAGAATGTGGATTAAATGCTAAAAAAGTATTTAAACCATTAACAGTTACGTTTGCATCATATTTCATATTATTAATCTTGTTCTGTATAGTCAAACTCTCTCTATAGCTCTGAAGAAATTAGCTGATAGTTTACCAAATTTAATTGTAGACGAAGAAAAAATTTCTCTTGGACAAAGAAGTCAGAAACATACATGTTAAAAGTCCAATGTTTGGCCACTTTTTGCATTATCCACTTAACACACAGTAATGAGGAGTACTTTGTGAATATGATAAAGAATCTGTGTATTTATTGAAAGTATAAATATTATATATAATTAAGTTAATAAATGTGAATGTATTTTTCACTTACTTGAAAAGATAGAAACAATTGCATAATTTTAATACCTTAACAGATCACTTGTTAGTTTGGCCTGTCAGCAGTTGAGGACAGAAATAATGCACTTGGCTTTTTAGATCAGCCTGAGAATAATAATTTTTTCACTTACTTGAAAAGATAGAAACAATTGCCTAATTTTAATACCTTAACAGATCACTTGTTAGTTTGGCTTGTCAGCAGTTGAGGACAGAAATAATGCACTTGGCTTTTTAGATCAGCCTGAGAATAATAGCAGAAATTATTTCAGAGTTACTGCTTGAAATATCTTTGCATATTTACAATAAAAAAATTAAGCTCATTTTAGTACTTTTGAGAATTTTTTAAAAAAAGTTCAAAATTAATTTATAAATAATAATAAGTGTTTGAATATCTGTTATAAATTGTAATAAAAAAGCATAAATTTCTTTCTCATTGTATAATAATATTCTGATATTTAATAGAAAAAGCATTTTCCCAGTTATAAAAGTGTTAGTTTATTAATTCATTGAAATTTTTTTTCAGTAAACTGTACAAATATTTATGTTTAGATTATTCAGTATAAATATTGTATTCATTCACAAAGATTTTCCATCAGTTTCTTAAAGTAAATTGTTGTATATTATGGAGTTTGGCCAGTAGTAAAGTGGTCAGAGTTTGGGCTTTGGCTGTAGTATAGATATATGTATACATGCTTACATATATATTAGTGACATGCATGGACATCCTTATTATCCATTCTAATAATTGCTTAGGCACACGTAGATGATATGTAAGATCCTTAATGCTACAGAATATGGTCTGCTTAGAAATTTTAGATACTAGTCTCAGAAAGTTATTCTACTTTTTGATTAATCCACACATAATCTGCAAAATGAGTATCTGATACATGCGTAATATGTATTCGTTGGGAAGTACTTCCTTATTATTCTGGCTCCTGTACTTAAATGGTGCCAATATATGTTGCAGACTGTAGGTAAATAACTTGCAGTGCCAATCAAGGTTACTGCAAGTCTGCTCATAAGGAGTTTAAGGCGGGTGCCACTTTGGCATACGAAAATGTCTTTAAATTATTTCTTTTATTTTTATTTACTTAAGAAAAAGTTGATGGGGGGATGTTAATAAAAGAAGTACCTTTAGGAATTCTGTGTGTTTGTATACAGATCATCATTTTGTCAAATGAAGTCAAGTTCAAGTTTCAGTAAGCCAAAACTGAAGGGAGCAGAAAAAAAAAAAAAAAAAAAAAAATTAAGTAATGTCAAAAAAATTTAGCATTAATTTCACGTTTTATATTTTGATATTCGATATTTACATATTATCTTGTCAACCATGAAACTGTTGTCAAATAGCATGTTTTAGTATGAATTATAAATGAGCATAACGTCACAACACTTTCATAATGTGTGCAGTTTCATTTGGTGTAATTCTGACGGATTCTCAATAAGCCACTGTTTGTTTTTATGAACTAGAATATGAATGAATAGTTACTGCTGTATTTTCCCCTGCATTAAAAAAAAAAAAAAAAAAAAAAAAAAAAAAATATGGCTGCTGTAGAATTGCATTTGTGATCAAACTCTTGTTCATTTCAAAAGGTAAAACAATTTATAACTATTGAAAGGGAGAAAAGCAGCTTAATATGGACCATAAAACAGTAATAGATTGGAACAATCACCTGCAGAAGTTTGGCTTCATATAAACACAGTTTTCGTTAGAACTGAATGCCTTAACAAAATAATAGAAATCCGTGAAAGCTTTATTCAGGAAAGCACAAAAATGAAGTGGGTCAAATACTTAGATTAGTAGTTTTGCAGCAGTAGATTTGGTGGACTGTGTAGACAGACTATGTTTTATTGTAAAGTCAGAATTTTGCATGAATGATTGGCACAATATGATGGTATTTCTGCCAGCTTCATAGTTGGATAACCACCTTTTGTGATCAACAAGATAGTATATAAATACCTGATAATCAGTCTGATTTATTAAACATATAAGCTTATTTAAGATGTATTATGCTATATTAAAATATTTATTAAGTTGATGATCTTCTTTTAAATAAATTTTAAAAAAATTGAGATTTTATTTTGTGAAATATAGTAATGGAAACATACTAATATTTATTCTAAGAGTAATAATTGTGATGCTTAAAACTTTTTTATGTATTTAAATCTATCAGGTATCACGTTGTCTGAATATTTTCGTGATATGGGATATAATGTTTCAATGATGGCTGATTCTACCTCTCGATGGGCTGAAGCTCTTAGAGAAATCTCTGGACGTCTGGCTGAAATGCCTGCAGGTATGCTCATGAACGAAGTCATTCATATTTTATTATAGTTTTTGATCTGGTTCTGTTTACTTATCTCATAGTTTTAATACTATAAAATGCACTGTTAGAATTATGAAGTTACAGTATTTATAAAAATATTTACGTTACTTCAGATTCTGGTTATCCTGCATATCTTGGAGCTCGATTAGCATCTTTCTATGAACGAGCTGGTAGAGTTAAATGCCTTGGTAATCCTGAACGTGAAGGAAGTGTGACTATAGTTGGAGCGTGAGTGTATTTATTTTATTAGTTTATAAATATCTATTTACTTCAATATTTGCTTTCAGCAGAACTTAGCAATGCATAATGCATTCAGTTTCTTCAAAAACTGAAATTTTATGAGACTAAAATTATTACACAAAGTGGACTGAGCACAGCATAATTTCAAGTTAATTTTTCAAAATAGCATCTATAATAAAAGAGGCTATTGTATCAACTAAATAAACAAGATTTCTATGAATTTGTAATAAAGAAATTTATAGTACAAATCAGTTGTTCATGCTATGAAAATATGAAGAAACTGGGTTTTGGTGAAAGGACTGGAATCTTACGTAATTTCTTCATATTTATGAAATGACATTACATCTAATATTATTTTCCTAGATATTTTTTTAGCTTTTTCACAGCATATGTCGTAAGTTGTGCAAACTATAAAAGCTGTCATATCTTCTACAAAGTAAGAGTAGAATGTAGAAATGGCTGATGAAATTTGTAAATGAATGCAATTAAAATTTTACTCTAAAGTGACTGAATGATTCTCTATCAAATACTCTATCAAATTAGAAAACAAATTGGTGTGATATGACTAGTCATTTGAGTTAAGACTCGCAGTAGAATAGAAGCCAGATGCATGTTTCAAAATCTGAAAAGTTTCTTATTTATCAGAAAGTGTGTTGAAAGAGCCTTTCTTTTTTCATGTGCATACGCAAAGTGTAGAACGAATGAGCTGATCATTTTTTCTCCTTATCATCTGCTTTTTCATACAACTGATTCAGATATGTCATAATACATTGTTACATTATGTACTTAAATGTTCTAACACAGAAACTGGTTTTATTTCTGTGTGTGAGGAAGTATACAAAAACTTTAAAATTCCTTCTTTGAAATAGAAACAAAATAATTCATTATTGATTTTTTATTATTATTTACAAATTTATGACTAATGGATACTGTGCATATTTAGGAAGAAAGAATTGCTTAAAGTTCAGATAATTTTTTATTTAATTTAAATACCTATGCCATATATTATGTAAATAATTTCAAAATGAGAAACCATTATGTTTTAAAATTTAATTGTATATAAAATGTCATTATTTATTTTAAAAAATTCCTCCATTCATGTGATTGCATAATTTTATTGTTTTGTGTCAGAAGCATATTACAATATATATTTTTAATTCTTAATCTTTCTCTGTTCCTATTGATTAGTGTATCTCCTCCTGGTGGTGATTTCTCTGATCCTGTGACATCAGCAACTCTTGGTATTGTGCAAGTGTTTTGGGGTTTAGATAAAAAATTAGCACAAAGGAAGCATTTCCCTTCCATTAATTGGCTGATTTCCTACAGTAAATATGTCAGAGCATTAGATGAGTTTTATGATAAAAATTTCCAAGATTTCGTGCCACTTCGAACGAAAGTAAGAATTCTGTATATGAATTTAAAGCAGTTGAATTATATTAAAATTCAAAATTAAATGAGACTAAATACAAATTGTAGGTATCAGTGAAAGCTAAATTCAAATTAACTTCAAAATGTTATATCATTTCCAGTTAAATTAAAGATCGAATAGATTTTTTAAATTTAATTTAGTTTTTAATCATCAGTTTTTAGTTTATTGATTTATTTATATAACAAAATATATTATGAATATGTTCATATATCTTAAGAAGTTAATATTTAAAATTCTTTTATATTTATAGTGTCAGCAGATTTTACAAGAGGAGGAAGACTTATCTGAAATTGTGCAGTTAGTAGGAAAGGTACGTATGAAGTACTGAATGCAGATGGTTCTGTTTAAATATATGATAATTTTCCATGCGGAGAACATGCAGAATGATTTTATATTATTTACGTATAAATATTCTGACAGTAACAAAAAAATAAAGACTTCACTAGAATATTTTTCAATCATGGTGAGAAGCTGCATGAAAATACTTCAGGAATGCAGATAATTAAGTCTCATAGCTAGTTACTGAAAATTATGAAAATGGGTAGTTATCTCATGAGCAAAAATTTAAGATGTGAGAAACTGTGACACTGAATTTTGCTTGTGTGATCCTCCACAGATATTGTGAGGATACCTTAATGTTAGACCTTGTGTCAGTATGAACAAGTTGACTATTGAGTTCTGCGGTTGGATAAAATCTGGATCAAACAAGGTAGCATTCCAGTAATGTTTGCTTTAGTGGATTATGAGAATAATTTACATGTGGTATGTTATTCAGGATACTGGAGAATCATGAATTCAGGATACTGGAGAATTTGTGAAAAATCATTTGTGAGTTTTAGGGAGAATTTGATTCAGATCTCTCTTCCAAGGAGTAAAAATGTTGTTAATTATGTATGTTTGTAGATTTAATTATACAAGTAAAAATTTTTTTCTATGTGAATTAAATTCTTTCCAGACACCTGAAGAAACCTTAAACGGAAGGAAAAAAAAATGACATAATATATGCCTTGTCATAGAGTTAGATAATGTAAATGTTTCATTATTAGTATCTTATGATAGTTTTTTGGGGGAAGGTGTCTAAGTACTTTATTTCATAGATTGATATTTTCTTAAATTTTGAATGAAAAAGTACTATTACTTGATGAAGTTAAATGTGTTGAGACTCAACTACTCATAATGTCTTCACGATAACATATCACTCTAGATAAAGTTACTCATCAAACTTCTGGCATATAAATTAACATTGAAGTAATCATGAATAATGAACCATCCGTCATAGCTACAAAACCCAGTCATGAAGTCTTTGTCCACATTATTCTTTCTTCAATAAATATTTTACTACTTCAGAAGTTTTGCAGAAATTATATGATCATTAAGTATTTATTAAATATTGCTTAGAAATTATTCAGAAATTATATGAACATGCATATTAAAATATCAAGACAAAATATTATACAGAATGTAGTAATAAATGTTATGTAAATTAATATCATGAAGAGATCTATAAAAGTTTTGCCACATGGAAAGTTTGAAATTTTCTTGTGTTTATATTTTAGTATGCCATTTTGTTTGTTAAAAATGCAGAAATAAATCTTGTTTATGATTGTGGTATTATTATTCCATGGGCATCTTCCAAAATCCATCATCTTTCCATCTTCCTTGCCTAATTCCATGTCAATTTTGAAGCATAGTCCATCCTTGTGAGATGGATGTAAAGGTTTCCACCACAGGTCGAAGTTTCTCCCTCCCTAGGCTATGGATCACATTCTGTCCTTCTTTCACTAACCTCTTGAAATATCTTTTGACTAAATATCCATCATATCTTCTCAAGCCAGGATTCATACCAGGGCCCGAGGCTGTAGCAGTCATTTAACTTCAAATAGATGAGAGATATCTGGACTAGTATCCGAGTTTACGTAAAATTTATTTTATTATGCGTGCAACTGGATTTATTTCTGATGTGTAATTTTTACTCTTTCATATTCTAGAGATGAAATGTTTTTCTTATAAGTCATTCTATTGCAACAACATAATTGCAAAATGTTAGAGATTGTTTTTTGCCTTTATTTTCATTAAAGCAAGTGAAAAAAATTACACTGTTTGCTTTTGTCCCTAACAAAACATTTCTGAGAGATTGAGTAGATTTCTGAGAGATTGAGTAGATTGATTTGAGTAGATGCAAAGATTTTAAGTTAATAAATGATGCTGAAAGTTAATAAATATGGTATGCTGCACTTAAAATATGTTGGGCAAATTATGTATAGATTTTAATATTAAATTAGAGTTTATTTTTTAAATAAATATAATTCATCATTTTAAGTTTTTGGTGATATTTTTAAAAAGCTGAATATAATCAAATGAACTGTAATGGTATAGATGGTTTCTTAATTTCTCTTTCTGGGTATAAGTTTGATAATTTTTAACACCACAAAAATTAAGAAATATCAAAATTTTACGCAGACAGTGAGGTTTTTAAGGCTGCTATCACACGTCGGTTTGTTTCGAAAGAACAACTGTTTGGAACAATTTTTCTCCTTTGTCACAAACAGCCAATCAACATTTTGAGTTGAGGTAACACAGGGGAAACTGGTTCTCAACACGGCTAAAACAGGGAAAGCTAAACAAAAAACAGCAAACAGCGTGATAGCTGATTGGTTGAAAAACAACTTGCAACATTTTCGAAAGGAAGGGAAAATTCGCACGTTTCTTTCAATAGTAAACCAGGCTGAAAAATTGTCCCAAACAGTTGTTCGTGTGAAACAAACGCCGTGTGATATGGGCCTATGAGTTCATCAATATTATATTATAAATTCCTCAAGAATTCAAGTTAAAAATTTTTAGGATATTTTTCTTCTAGAAGAAAATGTAACTTAAAATGTGAATCTGAAAAATTTGCACAATATTTAGCTTGAACCATAAGTTATATCTAAACAGTATATAATTATCAATGAAAAGAAATTCTTTAAAATAGTTCCAATGTTGATAACTTGTGATGAAAAGGTTGGAAGCCTTATATTATGATAAAAAAATAACTTTGAAGGAAATATGATTTCATAATTGCTAAGATTCTATGTTTATATTCTGGAATGTTTTCCAAATAAACATTTTAGGATCTGAATTTATATTTGAAAAATAGTTTATAGAACTTTTATAATCTATAGTTTTGTTTTTAACTTACGGTGTTGCATGTAAATAGATGAAATATGTTTATAATTTGTCTTCAGTAAATGCACATCATTCATAATTTAAAATTTTTAAACATGTTTCTTCATATTTCTGTTTAAAATATTGGAATTGAAACCTAGAATTCCAACAAAGAATCATATAACATAATGTGTTTTGTTTAGTGCTTTAACAATGCAGTTGAAGTAGATTTTTGTGGAATATTGGTGCCTTAAAGAATTTAGGATTTTATTTATTCTCAGAATATTTATTGAGTGACCTTATGAATGGTGATTGATTTATTGAGTGTTATGAATTCTGTGTGTCTTGTTGTATTTATAATATGGAATTCAATGAATATGATTTAATAGTTTATACTAAGTATTTTCCTGTCCCTAATATTGAAGATATTGTACATTGATTTTTTTATATCAATTGGGTTTTCAGAATATTTAGTAAAGGCCTTAAAATGTTAGAGAAAGCATTTTTAGAACTGAAATGAGATGGAATGAATAAATATTGAGAAGTGTATTTTTTATTTAATAACAAAGCTCTAGAGAGGAATAGCAATTTAAATTATTTTATAAGTATTAAAAAATTAAACGAGTCTTACTGCCAATCATCAGTTAGAGCTTGAAGTATCTGGCAGCAATATAATTTAGCTATTCAAAAGATGAATTTTTTATATTAAATTTTTGTGGTATAACACAAGGGAAATGGGGGGGGAAAGCTATTATTTATCACTTTATTCTCTTTATTTTTTCCAATCAGAAACACTCAAATTTCTTGTAATGATAATTTATGTAAAATTTTTCTTTATTATTCAGTAAAATTTAATAGTCATTAGTAAATATTTTAATTCCTTTGCTTAAACTGTATGGAATTATTACCACTTTTTGAAAAAAGAAAAGTGCTTTTAATGCACTGAGTTTGGATATTCAGTGAGATTGACTAGCAATGTATATGTTTCACTGTCTGCGGAAAATTTTGCTAATTCTTTTAAATATTATTTTTGGATATTACTTTAGCAAATAAAAATTTCAGTTTTTTTTTTAAAGAAAAGTTCATGGATTAATTAGTACTGTTAAATATGTACTTACATAGTATCCCATCGACCACTAAAGTTGGCAGAGATCCTGTCAAATATGTGCCAGTCATTCCTCTGAAATTCTGAAGGGACTGACACCTCTTTTTTTTTTTTTTTTACAAACAATCTGTGTTTGACCCACTTTGTTTTTATGCTTTATAAAAAGGCTGTAATCGATTTGTAATTTTTTTCTTAGGCCTCCCGATTTTACTGGTAGCTATTTTTAGAAGGCTATGAGTTACAAACTTCCTGCACATAATAGCTCCTATCTCTTAGTGTTTTGTCTGCCATATTCAACTGACCATATCGTGTCCATTAATACACTTTTTATGATAGGATCTTTTCCACTGCTTGCTGTTCTGTGGAAAGGAGGTTCCAAATTGTAATAATTTTCTTTAAAATGAGAGAAAAATATAGCAATAATAATTCATTTATATATTTCTTCATAAAAACAAAGGTTGCTTATCAAGAATCAGGTTACATGAAATGAAAGTGTGTTATGAGTGTGCTGCAATGGCATGCTTATCTATTTTTGCCACTAAATCGCTTTGCTTGACAACAGTTTCATGATACGTAAGTACCATTAAATATTATACTGAATGTAAAGTTATTAGTAACAAAAAAGGAGGGATGGAATCAAATAAAATTTGAGTGTCAAGATTGCTGTTGGTTGTTTTATTAGTGCTTTGTACATTTTGAGAGATTATTATACTCTTTTCATTAGTAAAGAAATTATCCTAAACAGATTAACTTATTTAGGTAAAAGAAATACTTGCATTAGATTGTCTTTTAGCAAGCATGAATAAAGTTGGTATCTTTCTGTTGAATAAAAAAAATTATATTCTGATAGTGGTTCTGGCAATTGTTTATGCTGATTTCCAATTTTTATTGTAACTGTTATGTTAATTATTGTTTTTTGCTAATATTTACATTTAAAATGTTAACTTTTTTTGACAGGCTTCATTAGCAGAAACTGATAAAATCACACTGGAAGTTGCTAGATTGCTTAAAGAAGACTTTTTACAGCAGAATGGTTACACTCCATATGACAAATTTTGTCCGTTTTACAAAACTGTTGGCATGATGAGAAACATGATGGCATTTTATGACCTTGCATTCAATGCAGTTCAGTCCACAGCACAAAGTGAGAATCGTATAACTTGGAATGTTATCAGAGAAGCACTGGATCCTATTATTTATGAACTTACGAAAATGAAATTTCTGGTACGTGTGAAATTCACTTTTGTTGAATTTATGCACTTTGTCATGATCCCGTGTATATAATACTCTTCTAGATAAAACAATGAACAAATATAAGTATTAACTATTCATTATAAGTAAATTATTATCAATGTGTGTATAATTATATAAAAAGTCTGAAATGTCAAAACATTTTGCAGCCCTCCAAAACCATCATGATTGCGTTTGAGTTGCAATTTCAGGAACTACTGATTTAGACCACCTTACGTAGCACCTTAACTCCTTAGTCATAGTCATACAAGTTGCACGTTTTATTTTTGCATTCTGTATTTTTTATTAATAATTATGAATCCAGGTATGATTGGTTTGAAGCCAGTTTTATTTGGGGGGGGGGGTTAATCCCATAGAATCCTATCTGTTCCAAACTATTTTTGATAACTAAAAGTATAAATAAATACATGTACACATTTATTAACATTTTTGTAAAGTTATTTGCTAAGTAAATGTATGTAATAGCGTAAGTAGTTACACTTGAAACTACTAAGAATGTTAAACAGAGCACAGTGCAAAGTGCATCTGAAGAGTGAAGCTATCCCAGAGATACCTTAGTATCCCAAACTTATGCTGAACCAACAGTTCAAAACTGAGAGCATCTGGAATTAATTACAGTTATTCAATTACAATACATATGATGATGGCACAGGGACCGGATTATTTTATTAATGTTAGTAAGACTAATGCAAGTGTAACAGAAATAAATTGATATAGGGGGAAAATGTCTGCTGTATAGAATTGAGAGTACATTCTGTTGCATGCGAAAAATTATATATTATTAAAATTATTTTAGTTTATGATAAGTTGATTACTTTTATGGTATTTGTGTATCATCCATACTGTGAACATCGGATGAAGCCATAATATTAAAAGTTGCCAATAAATATCTGCTGCATTGTTGCCACCATGTCATTAATCTTTGATGCATTCTGCAGCATGCAGAACCACTAACCACTAACCACTACACAACAAAGGCACGCTAGGAAAGTGAGAGAAACTCCCCTTTTTACTTACTCCCTTTTTTAAAGAAACTGGGGTTTTTAGGGAACCCAGTCGCCAAATCCTGTGTGTGGAATAACCTCATCCAACACCCTTTCAGTTCAGGTGCCACTGTAGAGACATTAGGATTTTTTGGAAGCAGGCAAGAGGGAAAATATGTAACCGCCTTCGCCGGGAATCGAATCGCACACTTCTGGAATATCGGCCCAGCGTGCAGAACCACTACACCATGAAGGCATGCTAGGAAAGTGGGAGAAATACCTTATAATGTGTATGTTTGATCCTTTGGCATGTTGTCATATTAGTTTACCTTTATGGATATTTCAGGTTTTTAAACAATAAAAGGGAAGCTTTCAGCTGTTTGGGAATAGTGGAATATTGTTAAAAAGTTGAGAATATCCGAATTCCCATTCAATAAAATTTTGCACTACTAAAAAAACAAACATGTTATGGAAATATAGCATTATTGAAAAATACAAATAAACTAAGATGAGAACAGGAAACCAGTTTAAAGGAAATCATATATTATTTATAAAGTTAATGTCAGTCAGATTGCACAAAAATTAACTGCATAATAAAAATTTGTCTATATAAAAGGTAAATTCTTTGACAAGTATCTCTGAGAAGCTTGTATTATCAAAATAAAGGAAAAACTGAAATTTGTTAGTTGAAATTATTGACAAAGGAGGTTTTCAGTACAGGTTAATATTCAAGAATACCAAATTAAGATTAGAAATGAGTTATTTATTTTGTTTAGTATTGTGACTTGTTGCTTTAATTTTTATACATGTATTGCTTTTTATAGAATCCTGTCGAGTTAGGTGAAAAAGAAATCAAGCGTCGCTTTGATGAGCTTTATGAAAATATGCAGCAAGCATTCCGTAATTTAGAAGACTGAATTGGGCATTTTAATTCATCGGTGTGTAGTTAGACATATGCTAGTCAAGATATGTTGAAAATGCATTCCAATAATAGGGGTGTATAGCAGATTTCTGCATTAAGGGGACATTATGTTGTTATAAACGGACCACTGCCTTGTGATTGTTATATGTGAATTTAGATTTAAAGGAAATTTAAGACTTCAGTATGTGGCACAGTGTTTGAATTCATTAGGAAATTCTTGAGTACAAAATTATTGTTGTTTTTATTGTATATTTGGAATAAAAGTAGTGCCACAGAAATGTAATTATTATGATTATTTAAAAGCTCAATTTTTGTTCATATGTATTTATATTCATAATTCCTTGAAATCATTTCTAAAACAGTGATATTTAAATATATATATTCTTTCTACAATGAATATCTAGCAATAAGTTTCAAATTGCATATTTTAAAAATCAACTTTCATTTAATTATTTTATTACAGAAGTTGGATATAAAAATTTGATATTTATTTCAGAAAGTACTGCACATAAGTTATTACATTTTTACTTTTTCAGTGAATGAACAAACTATAAGATCTGGATATGTTATTCATTTGAAACAATTTTAGATATTTTATATTAATTTAAATATTTAGTCAAGAATATCTTTTCTTTATTTGTTTTGTATTCAGTTTTTTTTATTGTGGATTAAATGATATATATAATGTTTCTTAAGATATTAAAATCATAATCATTGAAACTAGAGAATTGTGACATTTTGCTGTTTGTTGAACATATTAAGTTAAATATATATTTAAAACATACTTATAAATACATAATGAATATAATGTTTATTTTTGATATTTTCACTTTTTCTTTAGCGTGAACAAAGCTGTTTCTCTCATCTAGAATCATCTATTTAATTTTTCTTTTAATTTTATATAAAAATTAGATCTGGATTTGTTGCTAAACATTGTTTTAGAAAACAGTGTTGCTAACATTGTTTTACAAAGCAATGTTTTTCAAGCTCATGTTCATATTTTTTTTCCAGTAATGTGCAAGTGTTTTACTGTTTGTAATTTATGAAATTTTCTTATTGAAGAAGGGTAAAAATTTCATCTTTGATTGTAAACTGTTATGTAAATTTATGACTCTTGTGAAATAAAAGTACTTTATGAAAGAGCGTTTTTGTTTATATAGGATATTTGTTTATTTTTGTATATCATAAATCATATGCAGTTATGCTCAGCAGTCACATTTGTTGCAATGTTTTCTTGTTCAAGCTAATTATGTTTAATGTTTTTCTATATCAATTAACTTAATTTCTTAAGCAATGTTTTGCTACTAATGTGTGTTTTCATGCATTTAGATGTAATGTTTTTATTACCTTCAGTGTGTAGTAATCATGCCTTGAAGTACCAACTAAATCAACATCTACTGTACGCCCTATTTGGAATTTTGTCAGATTATTAATTCTGTTTTTGCTGTAAACTAAGCTTTGCAAACTTTAAAGTTAAATTCCATTTATTGTTAAACTCCTGATGCAGGTTACCTCTTGGTTTTTAATTTATTAGAATTTAGATCACGTCATTCAAATATAGTTTCAGAAAGATTGCTAATCGCTAAATGTAGAAGGGGAAAAAGGTGCTGCAAATACAATTGTGATGGAAGATTGTTACAAAAGGCAGAGTGAATGACACTATTATCTTGTAATAGAATTTTAAATTGTGCAGATGCATTTTATCAAGTGATTTTCAGTGTAATTTTTGGGTCTGATCTTTTAATCCATTATAAAGATTTGTAGAACGCTTTATAAAAAACCAAACTGGTATTTAGTCCTCTTGCAGTGTTATTTTGTTTTTCAAAAACTGAGTATTTTTTTATTATGTATTTCAAATCTAAATATATTTTAGAGTTAAAATATACAAAAAAAAAAAAAAAAAAAAAAAAAAAAAAAAAAATTAAAAGTTATTTTTTTAGGATAACCCTTGTTATAATTACCAAAAAGTTATAAATTTTCTTGTATTTTAAAGCAGTTTATTCTAAAGAATGAGTTCATTTGGTTGTTTAAATTCAAGTAGTATTCAAAATAAAAATACCACGCTGTAAATAAGGAAAGAATAAATGTGTTTGGAACTAAATTATAAATGCACTAAAGAACAAGATGCTTACATGGAAACTAAAAGGATTGTCATACATTTCAAAATGTTTGATTTTGGCAGAATTTTCTTCGTTTAAGATTGATGATCTTGTAAAGCATCATCTTAGCTCATGAAGACCCTGTAATCCACTCCAAGAAAATCAGAAGTTAATTGTATTTAATTTTGATTTAAATCTTTAAATGGCACATACTAAGCTTATCTAGATGATTATGTGCATATTAGTTATTAATTTTTATCATTTATAAAAACATTTTAATAAATAAAAGTTTTGGGGGGTGTATCAGTATAAAATTTAAAAAATTGCAAAATCGTTATATGTAAAATATTAAATATTTTTAAGTGGGATGTTTTTAGTACTTTGCATGTTTCCTGTGTATATGTGTGTATTAAGTTGCATATATTTCAGTCCTGAAGATTGGTTATGCAGTAGTAAAAATTTTTATTTATGATTTGGTATAGTTTCCTCTGCTGGATAAAAGGAATGTAAATGTACAATCACTGCAAGAAGCATGTAGAAAAGGGTAGGCCCAAGATTCAGAACATGATATGACTGGCAAATAACTATTAGTACATCAGTATTTTGATTGCAGGGTTACATGTTTTTATTATGCTATTGGTGAAATTATTATGGAAATTCCACTTCTCTCAAGATCTTTAAAATGGCAGGACATAACAGATTTGTAAACCAATCTATAATTTTTTGGAAATGTTCTGCAGTATATTTTCTTACATACTTACCGGCTGTATGTGTGTGTGTGTGTGTGTGATTATGGCAAAGCCTCGAGGGCTATCTGCCTAAGGGGAGGGATGCCTTCATGGAGGACTTTCTAAGGGAAACTGGCTCGTATACACGTTACACATGGGGAAAACCACAAAAACGCCCATGCAACCAGCCCGTTCGCGGGATTCGAACCTCTGACCGAACTAGCAGTGTTCAGCGACTTTACCGCTCGGCCGCTGGTGGGCCCCACTTACCGGCTGTACTTGTCAACAAAGCAAATCTAGTATGGAAGAAAAGCTACAAATGTCAGTGAGAGAACATTCTAGAGTATTAGGATTGTTTCCAACACTTTCGGATGCATATGTGAAGCCTTGCTTCTTAAAGGCTTCATTTCAATTGAAAACTCATTCTTCAAGGGTTGGTTAGAAAGTATCTACATTGCAGCATTATGTTAGATCATGTGATATGGATTAATTTTGAAATGACCTAGTTTAGATGGATACATTATAAATAGTTGTTATTTTTAGGACAGAAAGAGAAAATATCCAAATTAAAATTTAGAACGTAAGAGACTTTTGCCAATTAAAATTAGATTTCACAATTTTATCTTGCATGTTCCCCCTTCTCAAAAGAAAAAGGCTTAGCAATATAAAAGCAGTTGAGGAAAAAGCATTAGATTAGAGCAACAAATTAAGAGAAATGTAAAATATAATCGAGAACTTATGCACTAAATTTTTAAAGAGCTCTATAGTTTTGAGAATAAATATAATTTTAATAAATGAGCACTATACTTTTGAGAACAAATGCAATTTTTAGAATACTTTTGGGTCCAATATGGACAACATGTTCTTGTTTCTCAAACATATTTCTTGGAATCCTATAAATTATCAATATTTCAGTCCATTTTTTTTTAAGTCCTTGATTTTAGAAAGCCTACTTCATGATTGTAATTCTTCAGGGAATATTTTTCAGAATATCACAAATATAAAAATTTTATATGTATCCATTACTTATTTGAAATGATCCTAAAAAATACCAGGTTTAATTCTGACTTGTATTTTAATGTTATAAATATAACAACATTCTTATTAAAAAAATCACACTCATTCATAAAGTGGGAGCCTTCAATTTCATCTTGTATGAGGAGAGTAAAAGGAACAATTGTGCAGAGATAAATATGCTTGTATTTTGAAAGCGATGTTCTCTCGACACACTTTATCTTTATGAACATACGTATCTATTAATTTACTATAGTTTGAAATTACCTTTCTGGATTAATTTCTTTTTAATTGGATTATTAATAATTAATTTTATTGTAATTATGTAAACTCTTAAATCTTGTGATATTTCTGTATTCATTATAGCAATATTCACTATCAAAATATTAAACATTTTCTAAATTATATTCCAAAACATTGTTTGCTTATCAGTTTTTCAAAATTACTTCATTCAGTTATTACATTTACTTCAATTTCAACCAAAATTTTTAAACAATCTTGTTCACACACACAAAAAAAAAAAAGTTTCTGGAACTAAAGTACTTTTCCCATTTTTTTTCAAAATCTTAAAATATTAAATCACTGATTATTTAGAGAAGAACCTTTTTCTCCATTTCCTGGTATGGCTGTTGAACTTCTTTACAAGATCGAGGATTCGCCCAGTGCATAAGGAGTATATGGAGTATCTTGAGTTTAGTAGTAGTGTCATGAGTTCAGAGAGCAACTGAACGAGTTCCGGAGTTGTACTTTAGTGCTTTGCCGTGAAGTTATCTTCACCTTCGTAGCCTGAAGGCTGTGTTGCTAATTGTTTCAGCGTTTGTCGTAGTTTTTTGACAGTTGTAAACGTGTCTTTGAAACGCTCCTGTGTAGCACTGACGAATAAATTGTGTTTTGATTCTTCATCCAGTGTTATCGTCAATCACTCCAAATCCATGAACCCGTAGAATATAGCAACATACTTGAAACCAAAAGATAGGCCACATAGATTGATAGGTTGAAAGGTCACATAGATTAATGACTATACATAGATTAATAAGTATTTTATGCTTTTTAAAAATTATAAATTTGTATTATTGTGTTAAATGATGATTCCGTTTCAATGATGAAACACCGGCTACTAATAACTGGAGTTTTTAATAACAAACGTAATTTGATTGTTTCTTGTTTTTTCATTTAAAACCAAAAAAGGTGTTGCATATTCAGTTCCATATTCTGGTTTTGGGTTTTGGTAATATATTCGTGTAAAACGCTGTATAATACTGATAATAATGAGGTGTATTCAGAATTGTTTTACCATTACATAATAGCTTTGAATGTGGTTTACTTAAATTGTGTTAATAAACAATGATACGTAGAAGTAATGAACTCAGGTGAAAATAAAGTAATGCTTGTAAATAAATTTCAGGTTATAGTTGTATATATTACTATTTTAACAAGTTTCATGATATTTTAATGGTAAGGGCAAGAAAAAGTAAAATAAAATAAGAGCACGCAGAATAACATTGCAAACATTACAGGGTTAAACAAGTTTGAATGACTCAGATCTCTATTTGAATTACACTGAATTTACTGTAGTATCACTGCATTCACTAAGAGCAGAAGTTAAAAACTACTACATTCAGCCTACAGTGTTTTTAGGCATCTTTTTGAATTTATAAAAACTGTTTATCTTTCGTTTGAGATGGAAGACATTGTAATCGCATCGATATTTTGCATAAGATTTATAAGATATTTTGCAAAATCATTTTAAGATATTAATCATTTTAAGATATTTTGAAAAATCTGGTGCTTTGAATGAAAAATATAGCACTGAGTTAAGATATTTTTGCAAAAATTGATGCAATAAATAATTCAAATCTCTCTCCTAACTAATTTTATGGATTCTTTCGATACCTTTTTCAAGATATACTAACTATAAATTTACTTTAAGAGAAACCTCGAGATGAAGTCTGTGGTTATAGGATTATACACTCTTTCGAAATGATAAGAGTGAGCTGAATTGTGAAAGAAGCAATTTCTAGAGATGATTATATTAAGAAGCAATGCATTTAAAGGAAAAGTGAGAAAAGCACAAGAAGAAATGGACTTCATATTTTATATCATCATCTTAGAAGAATGCAAAAATAAAAGTGGGTGAAAATATTTTCGTGGTTACTTGCAAACAGCACGATTAAAAGAAAAACATTAATTTAAAATATGTCTGCAAATCCTTATCAAAGATGCATATGAAACTTATTACAGTGTGATATCTCGAAGGTAAAATATATGAATAAATTTAGAAGGCATGTTTATTTCTTGATCATC